CACACACACACACACACACACACACACACACACACACACACACACACACACCACTGAGTGCAAACACAGGAAAGTCTCTCCTGCAGCTAGAAGGCCAGAGTGTGCTCTTAACATCCCCCCCCACCCCAGTCCCTGAGTCACGGGTTCACACATATTCCCCAGAGGGGAAATCCCAGCGGTCTTGCTGTTGTGTCTCCAGGGAGCCATGACTACTTTGCCTGTAGAGACTCTTACTATGGTACAAGTGTTCTCAGATATCAGACAACCCCCTCTTGAAACTTTTACAGGCAGTGAGAGTAAATCCAGCGTAACTTCCTGTCACTGTGTCAAATGATCCTGGGACTCCACTCGCTCTCCCGTTAACACCAGTGCTGGGGAGATAAAGACAAGTGGATCCCAGGGGCTTGTTGGAGGGTCATCCTAACATAACTGGGGAAACCTGAGACCTCGTAAGAGACCCAGCCTCAAAAATTAAGAGCTGGGGGTGGGGCTGGAGAGATGGCTCAGAGGTCAAGAGCAGTGGATGTTCTTGCAGAAGGCCAGGGCTTGGTTTCCTGCACCCACATAGGGCATCTATAACTCCAGGGGATCTAATGGCCTCCATGGGCACTGCATGCCTGACAGGCGCACATGAAGGCAAACACTTATAAACATAGAGCAGATAAATCTAGAACAAATTTAAAACTAACGAGTTGCACACTGACAGAGACACACGTGCAGTGCACGGCCCTGAAGCTTAGCAGCGGGGAGACTTTATCCTGGCTGCCTTACCACAGGCGCTCTGACCCTCACCCAACCGGAGCAGAGTGCTCACTGCGGCACCCAAAGTTGATCTCAACCCTGCAGCAGCAGGCCTGGCTCTCCTCTCTCTAATTCTTTCTAAGAGCAGTGATCAAGGAGAGGCGGCAGGCGCTGTCTCCAGAAGCGGCACCGCACAGAGCAGGCCTCACCCTGCATTCCCAGATGTGCTCCGCAAGGGACCTGTGCACACTTACCTGCATGTCTGAGTTGGTGAAGCTGCAAGCAGATAGGTAGTTGGTGTGCATGGCGACAGACTTCTTCTTGGCAGCCATGTTCTCATTTTTGTCAAATGTCAGTGGGTACACGGAACACTTATTATCCAGTCCACTAGCACAGGAGACAGCGGAGCCGGAGGTCAGCATGGAAGGAGGGGAGGTGCATCTTTTTCTCCTTTAAGCTGGCTGCACAAGGGCTTTTCTTCAGCAGTGCCTTACCCTGCAATCTTTTTCCTCTTAAGGCCTTCTAATCCACAGTCAAACTGAATCAAACCCACAAATAGGAATCTGGAAACTCCTTTCCTCAGATTCAGAAACTGCATGTCAAGTGTGTGGGAGTGAATGCAGAACCATCTGAATGCAAGTTCGGCATATTCGCATCTGCCCCAAATAAGAATGTTCCTTAGGCGCCAGCTGTGGCTTTTGTCACAGCTGAGATTAGCAAGGGTTCCCTGACAGCTAACCAGGAGCCAAGGAGCCAAGGAGCTAAGAACCTAATGTCTGGAGAGACTGCTCAGTGGTTAAGAGCACTGGGTGCCCTTACAGAGGACCTGGGTTTGATCCCAGCATCCACATGGAAGTTCACAACTTCCATGTAAAGTTGCAGGGGCTTCAAATGTCTCTGAGGGCACCAGGCAGGTATGCAATGCATAGATTATACAAACACTCATAATAAAATTAAATAAGCAAAAAATAGCAAATGCAAAATACCTACAAACTGTTAGAAAGTGATTTTTTTTTTTTTTTTAAGGAGCACTTGTGGCTTTTGCAGAGGACCCGGGTTCATTTCTCAGTACCCACATCCTGGCCAACAATCATCTGTAGCTTCAGCTCCAGAGGATCCAATGCCTTCTACTGACCTGTGTGGGTGTGGGCATGCGCACAGTGCACAGATGTACATGCAGGTAAACACTCACACCCATAAAATAAATCTAAATGTTTTAATTGAAAAAGTACTATTATTAGTGTGTGAGGGAGAGGAATGCGGCACAGCATGCATATGGAGGTCAGAGGTCAACTTTCAGGAGTCAGTTCTCTCCTTCCACAGTGGAATCCAGGGATTGGACATGGGTCGTCAGCTTGCACAGCAAGCACGTTTACTCTCTGAGCCATCTTGAGGGTCTCTGCCCAGCTTTTCACGTGGGTGATGGGGTCTCGACTCAGGTCCTTACATTCATTTATCCACTGAGCCATCTCCCTGGACCTCTGACTGTTTCTTGTTCAGGACATCTTGTGGCCAGCTATTACTAAGGGCCGCTATTACTATTACCCTGGACTTTATTGTTTTTCACAGATAGAAAGTCTGGGCCTGTAGCAGAAACGTTTTGGATTGTCCCGACTTTAGGACATTTGCCTATGCAAAGCGGAACAGCATTTTGTGGCTAAAACTTACCCACAAGCGATGGCACATCCCGATGGCGCGTAAGCGCATGCCATCACCCACGTGCAGGGCATGGTGACCGCATGCTCCTGAAACGTCAACACCAATCAGGAATGAGTGACAGGCACTTCCACATGGGCCTTACTGTCTGAGGTTTTACCAAACACAAACACCAGAGTCCTCGCTGGCTTGTTACCGTTTATATGGCAGCGACAAGGGAAGGAAGTGGGCCTCACGCTGACAAGGGGACTCGGCCTTCCAGTACCAACCAAATCTAAGAAACATCGATATTTTACTTCACTTTTTTTTTTCTTTTGGTCATTTGCCAGGGGCCTGACTGTTAGTGACTCTGCCCTGGAAAATGGCCCTCACCTGACCAGGACATGCTTCGGCTGCTGGACACTTCTACTAACATGTTTAATAAAGTAGGTTATACACTGGGGTCTCTCTTCCCACAGGGAGAAACGAGCCTGCCATTCCAGATAGACCCTGACCCACAGCTCATACAGCACGGTCTTGTACAGACACTGGCGAGCCTGACCTACCAGTGTTGAGAGCTTTGCTCTTTATCTTATGGAGACAGTCTAACCTTAGACCTTACCTTCGCTGTGCATGCCAAGAGTGCTTTTGCTTTGGACCCACACTGCCCCACACCACAGCTCTGTCTGATACTCCTGCCCTTCCTACCCCAGCTGCCAAGTGCTCACTTCAGCCAGAGAGGGGAGAGAAGACAGAATTTTGATCCTCCCCGTTCTCACTCAGAATATAGGACACATCACTCATGAGGGTTTGACAGGTTTCTCTTGCTGTGCCCTATCTGGGGTCTGGGATCATGGTCCTCTAGGGGGTGGGGCTGGAGTGCTGACAGAGTTGCTGCTTCCATGGCCATTCGTGGGCCCTGGAGGGGAGTCAGGCCGGGAACCCAAGGCCCAGGATGTGTCTGGGAAAGAAACCTCACCTTGTTGGTGGTGAAGGAATCCCACACAATCACCTTCCCATCCTGGAGAGGAAAGAAACCACAGTTCAGGAGTCAGCACCTGGCAGTGTGTTCTTACCCGCAACGACCTAGAAGTCCCCAGAGCGCCCCGTCCTCATGGGGCAGCAAGGGGAGGCAGTGGGAATCCAGGATGATTAAGCCCCTCCCACCGGCCTGTGAATAAAGGGCAGTGATGGAGTTGGGGCTGGGTTCTCCAGTCAGTTCTCTGCTTTACTTTGTTTTTTTCTTGTCTAGATCGAATGAGAGATAGCAAGACTCAGACACTCTTTTTCTTTTGGACAGGGTCTCACGTAGCTTGGGTTGGCTTAGACCTTCATGCGTGGCTGAGAATGACCTTGAACACTGGATCTGCCTGCTCTCACTGAGTGCTGTGATTGCAGGCGTGCACCAATCGTTTGGAAGTAATGGTGAACGGTGCACTGACAGGGCCTGGAAAATGCCGAGTAGAGCAGAAGTGAGGTCCGCCCGTTAAAGCGACAGAAGCCTTCTCTGTCACATCTGGTCTAATGTCTTCCTAGGTGTCTAAACAGGATGCAGAGGCGGGGTTAGGAAGGGCAATCGCTCACAATACAACAGGGCTCTGCAGATGCATTTAAGGGTCCTGTGCACCAGGAGCCCACACTCCCTAACCGTGGACACTCACTCACTGTGGGCGTTCCCCACCGCCCACCTGCTGTGCGCTCTGAAGTCTCACTGAACTAAATGTGATGTTCCACAAGCTGATGGACTTGCCAGGCACCCACATACCCGCAGAAACATTACCTCCACCCCCAAACCCTATTCCCACTCATTGGGGTGACTAATTTCCTTTGTTAAAGGGAGAAGGGTGCTCGTAGTCCAAAGATTGTTCCCGAATCGTCACTGTTTCCAGCCTTGTGGTGGTCTGACTAGGAATGGCTCCCACAGACTCTTATGTGTAAACGCTTGGCCTGTAGGGATTGGTGCTATTGAGAGGTGTGGGGGAATGGGCTTTGAGGGTTCAAGGTCTGGCCAGCGTGGGGCGCAGTCTCTTCCTGCTGCCTGCAGATCAAGACAGAGAACTCTCAGCTCCTTCCCCAGCACCATGTCTGCCTGCACGCTGCCCTGTTGGCCACCATGATGATAATGAACTAAACCTCTGAGCTGGAAGCCAGCCACATTTCAATGGATGTTTTCCTTTGTAAGAGTTGCCATGGTCACGGTGTCTCTTCACAGAGGTAGAACACTGACCAAGACAAGCCTCCATCCCACACTTCCACGTACTTCACCTCTCTGGAGCAGAGAGGGATGCGTGGATTGTGCTCACAAGTGCCCTGTGGCCCTGCCTCGCTCCTTCTCCAACAGGAGTGGCTGGGGATGTAGCTGAGGTGGTGGAGTGCTGGCCTTCGTGCCTGAAGGCCTGGGTGGGTTCAGTTCTCAGCGCTGCGGGAACGGGCTGTGGTGGTCCACACATGTGATCCTAGCACTTGGGGGTGGAGGCAGGAGGGTCAGAAATTCAAGGTTATCCAATGTAACATAGTGATTTTTGAGGCCAGTCTGGGGGAGGAGGAAGAGTCCCTGTCTTAAAAAAACAAAAAACAAAAAACCACAAAACTAAGTAAAGACTAGAAAGAAATGCTCTAAAATGGTAAGTTGTGGGTATGGCGACAAACGCCTGCAGTCTCAGCACTCAAGAGGCTGAGGCAGGAGCATTGCAAGTATGAGGGCAGTTTAGCCTACAAAGCAAGACTTGTCAAAACAAAGCAAAACAAAACTAATCAATAAATAAAAGTTAAATAAGGAAACGGTTTGAAGCAGGGGAGCCAAAACTCTGCTCTACTCTCTGGTGTTTTTAATATGCACGGGTGATAAATTTACTACGGATCCGAAATCAAAAGTAAGTGCAGCATGACTTAGACAGGCAGGGCACACAGCAAACAAACAACACCGTGCCACTCAGCCAGCCACTGGCAGAGGCTCTACAGCAGGTAGGCCATCCAGAGCGCGCACATTTTCTTTTTCCTCACGTGTCTATGTGCGCATCTCTGCATGGGTGTGTGCATGTGAGCGTAGTATCCACGGGGGCCGAAGGAGGCCACTACATCCCCGGGAGCTGGAATTGTATCGAGCTGTGAGCTACCTGGAGTGGGTGATAGGAACTGAACCTGGGTCCTCTGCAAAAGCAATACAAATCCCTTCACCCCAGAACTTGGACACTCTCACGCCTTTACACAGGTTATTAAGATGGGTCTCGCTTTTGAAAAAGCTGGACCAGACGGAAGCCAGATGTGATTATAAGAACCTGATCTACAGCATACGCCAAAGGAGTTCAGTTCACAGGTTTCTGCTTATTTGAGAGAAGGTCACATGTGGCCCAGGCTGCTCTTAAACTCATGTAACCAAGGATGACCTTGAACTCCTGATCCTCCTGCCTCTACCTCTCAGGTGCTGGTGTCGCAGGTGTGTGCAGCCATGCCTGGTGGTGATTACTAAGAGACCAGCATCACTGAAACGAACTTTCTGGGAAGTGTTTCCTCAGGGTCAGCACATGGAGGGCTGTGGTCCAGATGCAGCCAAGGCTGAACCTCATGCTGGCAGCCAAACTTGGTAATGTGTTAGAGTCACTCGGGCGGTACTGGTTTTGAAGGCACAAACGGGGCCATGGAGAGCAGCTGAGGCTTGGCGCTGTGTGGGAAGGCTGGAGTCCCCGATGGAGAGGCCATTGGAAAAGATCAGCCCAGGATTGAAAGGATCATAAAGGGAAGTTAAGGCTTGCCACTGTGCAGCAGGGTTAGAGCTCCTGAAGAGAGCCTAGAAGAGGCTACCGGTGAGGGTGTAGCCCAGCTGCAGTGGAGACACAACATTTTGGGGATGCCAGTACCATGGGACACCTAGCAAGGACAGCAGGCATAGCGTGGAGCTGGCCCGAGTCTAGGAGCAAGCAGTGATCCTTCCTGGCCGCTGTTGCAGTTCCTGGCTCCCAGCTCATGTCCTGCCCCGTATTCCCTTCATGGTAGACTTCGATTGGAACATGGAAGCTTAAGTACCCTGTCCTTCCCCAAGGTCGCAGTGTTTTATCGCAGCAATAGAAACCTAACTAGAATGATACCTAGCCTAAAAATCCACATACAAATTATTAAGCTGTGGAAGTCAGTTTCCTTCCTCATTTTATCAGGGTCGTTCTATATGCCCAATGCAATGGAACAGAGAGGATGGAACCTAGGTCACAAAAGGTTTCCGTTTCCCACGCTTGGGTCATTGGCTCTTCAAGGAGGTCAGTTACCAAGTCGTGAGCAGAAAACCATGGAAAGGTCCACATGGCAAGAAACAAAGGCGCAGCCAATAGCCACGTGAACGAGGCAGCCTGAGAGCACACACCTCGGTCACGCAGTCTGCCAGCTGTGGCCACACCCACCTCTCTGGTAACCTCATAGTTGATTAAGAACCCAGGCCCAGCTGTTCGGCTCCAGAAACCCTGTGATATGTGACGGCCTTGTGCTAGGCTGCTTAAATTGTGGGTAAGTTATGTCAGTGCTGGAGATGGAACCCAGGGCTTTGTGCTTGCCAGGCAGGTGCTGGGCCGCAGGGCTGAATCTGTTATCTCAGTTTTGGAGTGACGTGCTATGCAGCGATGCAGCAGGAAGTTGTAAGATACAGGAAATAAGCTGCAAGCTATGCAGGAAGTTATACGTTCCAAACAGCTACGTTAGACTTCTTATTAAACACAGTGAGAATCAATAAACTACCGGGCACGGTGGAGCACACCTTTCATCCTAGATCTCAGGATGCAGAGGCAGGTGGATCTCTTTAAGTTCAAGAAGAGCCTGGTCTACAGAGCAATTTCCAGGGCAGCCAGAACTACATAGTGAGACCCTGTAAAAACAAAACAAAACCGAAAAGCCAAATACACAGAAAGGAAGGAAGGAAGGAAGGAAGGAAGGAAGGAAGGAAGGAAGGAAGGAAGGAAGGAAGGAAGGAAGGAAGGAAGGAAGGAAGAAAGGAGGCCATTAGCAGAATCTCAATCATTTAAGTCCCCTTGAGGTGGGGACAGGATTTTAAAATTGGGTTCATTTATAAATGAGACCTTGTAATATGCTTAGGGAGAAATGATCTCGAATGTTTCATCAAAGGAGTCAGCGAGACAGTGTTTCTTTTATCACTAATTTGAAATCAGTGACATTCTGCAGGGTGCAGAGCATCTGAATGTCCTGTGACAGGGATCCCCCGCACAGCCCCAAAAGGCACAGCGCATGCCAGACAAGGGCTCTAATGCTCACACCTCCAATGCTGCAGGGGACATCTTTGCTAAGTCACATCCCTAGGAGAGTAAGCAAAGTCATGCAGAGGAGACAGGGGCCGGTGGACAGGACGGTTCTTCCTTCCTTAGCCGTGTGATCCGAAACCCACTCAGGCTGCACGGCAGGCGGGAAGGGGTAGCCAAGCACGCAGTACCTGTGAGGAGCTCACGATCCTCCGCTTGTCTTTGCACCAGTCCATGCACAGGACCTTGTTCCCGTGGCCTTTGAGGGTCCTTCTGGTCTTCATGACAAACTGGCCCAGGGCCTCCACCCGCTCGGCCACCTGGTGCACTGCAAGGACAACACCAAAATCAGTTACCCAGGGCCCGTTAGGCAGGGCCTGGCTCTGAGCTCCAGCAGGCCCAGGAAAGCCTTTGTCTCTCCAGAGGCTTTCATCTTATTCTCCAGCTTTGCTCTCTTCCACGGCTAGAGAGTACAGGCTGCGTGGGGTCTCTCTTTTGGGTTTAAGACCCGATAGTTCTCAAAGTATTTCTGTATGTGTGTGTCGCAAGCCTATCAAACCAGCTTCATATTTCTAAAGCCCTTGGACGTTTCCCTTGGCTCTGAGACATGGGCGGAGCCAACAATACAGTATGGCGGCTGTCTCCATGTGACAGGCAGATACCGGGACTCACACAGACTCTTTGGATCATACAAGTCCATACAAGTTCCTGGTAGCCAGGCTGGGATGTGAAGATTTTACCTTTCATTTCTTTTGGGGGAGTGTGTGTGTGTGTGTGTGTGTGTGTGTGTGTGTGTGTGTGTTGTGTACATTCCAGAAAGCAACCTCAGGTGCCATCCTCAAGAACGTCTACGTCTTTGAGACAGGGTCTCTCAGTCGGCCTAGAATTCACCAACCAGGATAGGTGGGCTGGCTATGTATCCTCCTGTTTGCCTTCCAGCACTGGAGTTACAAGCACATGCTGTATGACAAGCATTTTACCGACTGAACCATACCCAGCCTCCACCGCCTTTCTACGCTCAAGAGAAACTGACTTTGTAAAAACTGTCCCACACTCTGCACCTTGCCATCTGGCAGTAAGCACTGTATCTAACTGTCTCTGGCCCTAGCAGAGGCCTGGGGCATGATGGGAGCTGCAGGAATCAGCAGACAAGCCCTGAGTGAATGACACATGTGTGAGGTTGCTGACGAGCTCCTAAAAGCCTGGACAGAACTGCTCGTGCTCCCAGAGCTCCACACAGCATTCTCTCAGTGGCGGGACCTGTGTCCTTTTCCGAATGCCAAGAAATTGCTCACGTGCTTAGAGAGGCTGACGCTAGTCAAGTGACAGTGCGGGAATGAAGAGTCCACCATGAAGCTGATGGGAGCCGGAGGTCTGCGGGGCTCAGAGGTGTGGTCGGCAGCTGAGAGGTACTGCTCTCTGCCTCCCTTCCTGCGCTCTTACCTAGCCTCTCTGAGTCCGAAGAACTGTCTTACAGAACCACAGTCCAGAGAGCCACATCAGGGAAGCAGTGCCAGCTAGCGTACAGGCCCTGCTGTACGCTCTCCAACAACACCCTTTACAGCAAGGGTATATTTAAGGTCACTCACTGCATCCTTTGGAGCCCTTCAGTCCCTGTCTGGTGCCCCCTCACAGTGAGGTTCCGCCCAGGCACACTTGTCAGGAACCCCACCGGGAGACAACGTGACTTTCCAGAGGCACACGCTAGCCTCTGCTACATCTGTCCCTCTGCTGCTGATGGCGACTCTGGCCACTTGGTGAATGTGGTCCATCTTCTATCGTGACACATAAATATGGTGCTGCTCCTCCAGCTCCAACAACCTCATGGTACCATGCACTAACAGCCCAGTTACCGCACTGGTGGTTGGCGACTGATGAGTTTCCTAAGCCCACCCAGTGGCTGCTTCCTGCTCTTGGTTGAATGATTCGCTATTGACAGCAGTGTGGGCTTTGTGGATTCTGCTGCATTCACTGAGCCATTAGCAGTTTCTATTACTTCTTTTTGACCCGTGCTGGTAGTGAGGGCAAGGCCTCGTGAGTGCCAGGCAATCACCCTACCATTAAGCCACACCCTCAACCCTGGGTGTGCCAGGCAAGTACTCTGCCACTGAGCAACATTCTTGGCCTTTCTGTGCCTTACTCCAAAGTTCAAAGGTTCTCAAGGCTTCCTGTCACATCTCATCATCTTTGGGAGCTCCCAGTTTGGGCGTCTTGCCCTATGCTAACCAAGAAATCAGTCTTTTCTCCAAAAGAGCTTGACCCCCATTAGTGCCCCCTGAGAAGAAAGAGCAAAGGTATGCAAAGAAGTCCCTATAAAACCCCAACTCTGTCAGTGTGGTGGTCTGTAATCCCAGTGCTCAGGAGGCTGAGGAGGGAGGATCTCTGTGAGTGTGAAGGCAACTGGAGTTATATAGTGAGAACCTGGCCCCCAAACAAACAAACAAACAAACAAAGGGAAAACACTCAGAGAAAAGCTCAACTGTAAAAGCTCTTGTACATTACAAATCGCCGTGTCACCGCTCAGCGCTCATGCTGCAGCTCCCACTGAAATGCTGAGTGGTCATTCCACAAAGACCATACCACCGGTCTCCCACAGATGCACACAGGCCTCCTGAAAAAAGCTAAAGAACAGACTCAATTTTCTGAATTCTTACAGGCCTTTTACACAAGCCTCCACCAGGAGGAAGCATGCCTTACTTAATTCCCTTTAAAATATTTATTTTTTATCTTATGTATGAATATCTGCCTCCAAATATGTATGTGCACCAAGTCAATGAAGTGTCCCTAGAGGCCAGAGGAAGACAGCAGATCCCCTGGAGCTGGAGTGATTGACTGGTGAGCTGCCACGTGCATTCTGGGAACTAAGTCAAGCTTCTCTGGAAGGGCAGCCAGGGCTCTTAACCCCTGAGCCATTTCTGTAGTTCTTTGCTTAATAAACCCCATGCTCATACCATTGCAGCTTCTCTTGCTTCAGCATTAGGGAAAGCTTGGTTTTCCAACATCCCTCTTAAAAAAAAAAAAATAGACATCTCACCAACTAGAAGAAAAAGGCCCTCGTTATATAAGTCTAATTTTAACACATCCCAACTATCAATTATCTTTTCTCCTCATGTCTTCCCTTCCCACACGGATTCACTCCCAACCCACTCCTTCCTGCTTTGACCTGCCAAATCTTGCAAGCATTGAATTAAAGAATTACAGAAATTAAATATCAGGAAATAAAAGAAAAATTGGAAATGAGCTAAATATGTATTTGTGGGGCTGGGGCAGGTATGATTTTGCCATTGCCTTTTGACAGACTGTTCCTCCAGAATATGATTTCTACAACAGGAACACTAACAGCAATTTGGCTGGCAGGTGAGCTTCAGGAAGACAGTGGTGTGTTCGGCTTGAGCCAACTGGAGGGGCTGAAGCCATGTCTTGGCCACACAGCCATCTGCCTTCTGGTAAGCCACTTCTCCTCTTGATGGTTTGATCCATTCTCAATCCCTCAAGCCTGGCACAGAGCGCACACTTGCCAAACCAGAGAGCTTCTCCAGACGACAGGGGGCTGTGCTTTCGGGTTATGTCTGAGCTCAGAGAATGGCTCTCAGTGGGCATGCTCAGTGAGGAAGGCAAACACAGAAGGCCTGAAGGTGTGATGTACTCAGGGGCAGCAGGGGAACCCGTCACAGAGAGCACAGCGATGTAATGTTTGCACGCCTCAAACAGTTGTCTGTCACCACTCTTGACACGTGTCTATCATTTTGTGGCTGCCCCTGGCTGCAGCATGGGGTAGTGATGACACCAGGGAGGGAGACCAATGAGGAGCCTCTGCTCTTCCCCAGAACTCTCTGCAGAGATCACAGTATTTGCTGTATCCCTCATCTGCAGTCCCTCTATGTCAGATGAGCCTGCAGCAGCCTCAACTTTGACGCAAAGAAGCCCTTTCCCTGACCCATGTCCAGGCTGTACACTGTCTTCACTGCCTTTCTGCCCGGCTGGGGCGCATGCAGCTTCTACTGCTGAAGATTCTGGGACCAGCACAGTCAGACCCAGAAGCTGGGGCTCCGAGAGGGAGACAGAAGTGCCTAGCTGGGTGTTAAGTGCTGTGCTAAATACTTCTGTAGAAGAAAAAGGTTGTCCCTGATCTCAGGAGGCTCACGGTCTAGAACTAGCCAACACGGAAACACCCAGGTACCAAGCACTCTGTAGTGTGACAGGGACTAAGGCTATCACATGAAGTCAGGGAGCCACTGGCTGCTATGGATTACTTGCTGGCAGTAATCAGAGGCAATGCCACGAGAGCCTGAATTTAAAGAAGGCATAAGAACTGGGTAAGGAAGAGAGGTGGGACCCTCCCTCCTTCCCTCACACATGTGCCACCACATGTGTCAAGCCTTTTGATGTATTTGGACACCCTCCCTCCCATTATTGCACTGGGCCTGGGCAGGCAGAGGGCTTCATACAACAGCTTGAGGACACATTATTTATTTATTTTTTTAAAAAGATTACTTACTTATGTATTTTCATGTACAGAGTGCTCTATTTGCATGTACACCTGCATGACAGGAGAGGGCATCAGATCCCATTATAGATGGTTATGAGCCACCATGTGGTTACTGGGAAGTGATCTCAGGACTTCTGGAAGAGCAAACATTGCTCTTAACCACTGAGCCATCTCTCCAGTCCTCCCCAGCCCCAACCACACCTTTTTTTTTTTTTTAAGACAAGGTTTCTTGATGAAGTCTTGGCTGTCCTAGAACTCACTCTGTAGATCAGGCTGGCCTCGAACTCAGAGACCCGCCTGTCTCTGAGTGCTGGGATTAAAGGAGTGCGCTGCCACTGCCCGGTGAGGACACAGTTTTAAAGCTCTATTTCTACAGGTGAGGAAGCCAAACCTCAGAAGCACTAAGGGCTTTCAGTACACACACTTCGGCCCTTGAAGACGGGTATACACACCTTCAAGAATGGGATCAACTTCATGCAAGGTGGCTGTGAGTCTTTGAAAACTCAAGGACAAGGACATTCAGGCATAGGAGACACCCCGTAGAGAACACCATATTCGAGGTTGCCAGATCAGTGGCAACCTCCACAAAACAGCTTCTCCTGTACATAACAGCAGGAGCTAACTATTGGGTTAAGTGTAAAATGTGTCTCAAACACATTTAATACAATCCCAAGAGCTCTTGCAAAATTATAAATATAAAAGCAAGCCACGAGGGATATCAAAACATGGAAAGAGATGCCTGCAGGTGGGGGGGGCTACAAAGACCCCCCCTCTTTTGCTTTAACTGCCCTACAGTGACTGGACACTGCCAGGATCCATTGGAAACACTTCCACTAGCATGCTCCAAGCTATGACTGCAGAGCAGAGGGAAGAGGACAGGGAATGAAAGGCAGGCTGGCTCTCTGCTCCCTCTCCAGGCAGCAGAGGGCAGAACAGCAGGCAGGAGGTCGGCTGTCAGGGCATCATCAGCTTTACCTCAACACATGGAAAAGCAAAGGACACATTTGCTTCAGGACTGTCTAGAGTATGGTTTTGTCTAGATTTTCCCCTAAGCCATGAGATCAGATTAGTACAGAGTTCCAGCCACAGGGTGTTTAAGGGTAATAAAACCTTTCACAAACGCATGTTTAGAACAGACAGAAAAGTCAGCATCCCTGACTGGTAAATCCCGTGATTAACCCCAATGGCGTCTGGATTTATGAGAAATGCTATCAATTTACGTTGGCAGTTTTGTTCCTTAACAAAATCAGTAGCTGTCTCAAAGGAGCTGGGACTCTGTGAAGGCTCCCACAGCCCAGGGTGCTGCGACCAGCCAGCTCTTTCCGCTATTAGCCAGCCTTGTAGATCATTCCTCACTCTGACTAGAGACTCTAACCTTCCTCCGGTTGTCTTGACGACACCCAAAACTCAGTCCTTCCTATAGCACATGCGGTGATGGGTCCTGAAGAGAAACACCTCCACACCCTGAACGCCCTTACAGACATCCTTACAGATATTCCGTGCTGACTAGATCACTGTGGAATACTGTCCAATATTTACCCTTTGTAAAATACTTTGCTATTTTAATAATAATAATAATAATAAACCCTCTGCTCTCTAGAAGAGTGAGACATGGACCAGAAACGCTCCTTGGCTCCCCCAGCCACCTTGGCAATGCCAGCCTCAGTACTGCCCTCTGCTGTCCCGGGTCTTAGAGGCTTTCTCATCTAGGACGGGTGGGAAAGAACGCTCTTTGCACCTGGAGTCTGAGGCTGAAGAAGGTGACCCTTCCTGGTCCGGGGGCTGTTGACAGGCTAAAGCCATGGCATCTGATGACGCTCACGTCCTTAGAAACCTTATACGGGAAAAGGGTGTTTGCAGATACCAGTATGTTAAAGATGTGGAGGTTGGGAGTTGCTCTTCCCAGAGCCTCCGAACCTGCTGACCCATTTAGACTTCTGACTGCCTGAACTAACAGGCCTCAGACTGCGAAGGTCTGTGCGGCATGGTGTAAACAGGAGGCTAACACTAGCCTTAGCCGTGTGATTGTAACGTGAAGCAGGGGCTGCCCTCCCGGGCAGTGGATTATCAGCAGTGGGGGTTGAAGTGGGAGACTTCCTGGAAAAGGAACTCTGCAGGAGGCTGGGGAGACAGGGACTCCGGCTGTGCGACTGAGGCAGACTGTCTCCCTGCCATACAAGCCGTATGAGCTACTCAGGCATGCTGTGCTGGCCCAGGATCTGGCTGGGAATGATGTCTACGGAGAGGGCACTGGGACCAAGAACAGGGTGTGGATCAGAAATCGCTCATTCCCCTCCTGTTTCTCATCTCCAGCTGTTGCACTGACTTAAAAATACTGACTTATATATTTATTTTTAAACAGGGCCTCATGCAGCCCAGGCTAGCCTCAAACTACTAGGTAGTTGAGGATAACCTCGACCTTCTTCTTATCTTCTCGCCTCAACCTCCCAAGTGCTGGGGTTACAGGCCTGATTGACGAGGGGCAGAAAATGGAACCCAGGCCTTGTATAATCTAGACAAGCCCTCCATCAACTGAGGTGTAGCTCCGGACTGATTTTGCATTCATCTTTACGTTTCTTTTAAAATTACACTTATTTATACACGTGTGTGTGTGTGTGTGTGTGTGTGTGTGTGTGTGTGTGTATGCATGTGTCATATGTGGACCTCGGAGGACAACCCGCAGGTGTCTGTTTTTCCTTTAGCCATGTGGGTCCTAAGGATGCAACTACGGTCCTTAGGCTTTGGCCACCTGTTGTGCCACCTCACTGGACCCACTGGAAGGTTGTATTGACTTAATCTTAATAGGGCCACTCCAGCCTTCTGTGTTCTGCAGGACTGCACATACCCAAATAAAAAAATTGAAAAATAGTTTAAAAAACTGAAATACAAACATGCCGGTGATTCGGCCAGTGATTCGGTTCACTCAGGCTTTTCAGAAGCCCAAGTCCCAGGGCTGTGGGGGATGGCACACAAATCCGGACCTGGTGTAAGTAAAGTTGGTATAGTGGCTCATGATTGAAATCTCAACGCCAGGGAGGCGGAGCCAGGAGGACCTCTGGAGCTCACTGGCCAGCCTGGCTTACTCGGTCTAGGTAAAAGTGAGAGACTTTTCAAAAACCAAGGTGGACAGCATTCTGAGAATGAAACCTGAGGTTGACCTCAGGCCTCTATACATACATACACACACATGCACACACACACACACACACACACACACACACACACACACACCACTCAAGGCCTCATTATATCCCACCAGGCCCCAACAGCCTCCCCGCTGTAACCTCACCTCCTTGCTCTGCCCCAGGGTATGCCTATCCACACACAGCCTCAGTTTCCCCTCAGGACAGTATCAAACATACTCCCCCATCTCAGCTTTGCCTCACTATCGCAACTCCCCCCCCCCCCAACATGTTCCCCGCCCCTGCTGCTGTGTTCTTGCAACCGCTCTTCCCAAGGAGTGCGAATTCAAAGGTCCTCTCTGGGATTAGCAGCCTGGGTCCCCAGGGTCACAGTCTCTGAAGTTTCTGAGCTTTCCCACAGCCCATTTCCCCCCTCCCCTCCCCCTCTACTATCCAGAGCTCCCATCTAGTCTACCACTCATTTTACCTATGAACACCTGACTCCCAGCTTTGGGCTAAAGCCCACACCAGGGGCTGGAATACTGTCTGAGTAAAAGATAGGTGTGTGTGTCTGTCTGTCTGTCTGTCTACTGAAAGTGAGAAGCAGGAAATAGAGAGATGGAGGCAAAACTAAAGATGAGATGGGAGGATCCTGAGACTAGGGGTGGGAAGACGCTGACCCTAGACGGGAGGGCCAGGTGTGCCGGGGAGTTTGATCTATGAACTCAGGGGCTAGCTTTCTACCTTCCATTTTCTGTGGAAGAAGTAAGAGGTGGGGAGGACAGAGACCTCCACACAATGGAGAGCATCTGGCAGTTGCCAGGGTTGAGAGCTAAAGACCCTGGAGGGGTGCCTTAGCCACTGGGCACAGAGGTCACTTGGTGCCTTCTCTCCAGCAGCCTCTGGAGGAGAAATGAGGTGGAGCCATCCAGAGCTGAGGAGGAGACCGGAGGGCCAGAGGCAGGGTCCCTTGGAAAGACTTTCTGAAGCTGATTAAAGTATCTCGATTGGTGCCAGAGAAGACACAGAAGACAGGATAGGGCTGAGAGGTACAGGAGAAAGCCAGGATTCCTAAGGACCCAGGAGAGACTGTGGTCAGAGTGAACAGAGTCAGGAAGAGGCAAGATAAGATTCTCCCTGTGTGTGAGCACGGCTGTGCTAGAGTGAGGGGTGCATGTCACAAGGGCTACCTGTGTCAGCCTTCGGAAAGAATGTTCAAGCCACAGGACTAAGAAATGCCTGCGCTTCCTCAGCTGTCAAAGGGAGAAAGCCGAGGCTCTAGGAGGCAGCATCGCCCTCTGCAGTGTACAAGGCTCTGGAAAGGGGAGGGAGAGAACCCATGCTCTGCCTACGATACATACTCCCCATTTCTCCTCAACTTTGGGATGGCAATGTGCTGAGCCTGGCTCCCCCTTCTCCGAACTCCCTGGCAGGGGCCACATGGCCTAGTCAGGCCAATGAAATACAAACAGAAATGTTGGGAGGAGAGGAATCCTGGGAAAAATTTTGCTTCCTTCCTAAGAAAGAAAAGAGCTGGCTGTTCACACTCTCCCTTCTTCCCACTTTGGATATATAGGCAACGTTTGGAGCGGTAGCAGTCATCTTGGGTACATAAATGCCAATGGTCTAAGATGTGGAAGGGTCCGGGTCCCTTTCCCTCAAAGCACCAAGCAGCTGTACCAAATAACTCACAATTTAACACTTACATCTGGACCACACAGGAGAAGAGTCCTGGAAAGGCACCGTACGTGTGTGTGTGTGTGTGTGTGTGTGTGTGTGTGTGTGTGTGTACGGTGGTGGTGATGGTGGTGGTGGTGGTGACTGACAGGCCTGGGAGAGCGGGTAACACCACTGCCCAAGCTGGGTCCCTATTCGGAGCTCTGGCCAAGAGTCCTGGCGTGCTGGTAAGTGTATTTACACGGCGGCGTTGGCCCTTTTTATGTCAACCGCGGCATCCACCAAAGGCTTCTAATAGGGCCTACCGCAACCCAGGATGCAGAAAGCGTATCTGCTTCCCTCCGCCATCCTGCTCCCTGCCCCAAGGACAGTGGAGAGATAAGAAAGGGAGCTTCGAAATCCACGCGGAGGAACGACCTGACAGGGGCAGAGAAGCCCAAAGAGGAACAGTAAAGCGGTTCCTCCCCGGCGGCGCCTACACCTGCTGTCTGCGCCTCTCCACCCGCCCCTGGGAGGGGCTCGGCATCCTCCCACCCGGAGCGGGGCGCGGGGTGGGGGGGACCGGTCCCACGCGGGTCCGCCAGCCCCTCGGAGGGTCGGGCCCACTCTCGGGCCGAGGGCTTCCCTTCCACCCCCCAGCTCGCACTCACGCTCCACGTCATGCAGCTTTGCCCGCTCCTCCTCTAGCTTGCTCTTGAGGCTCTCGGCCTCGCTCTTCAGCGACGCCAGCGTCTCGTTTTCGTGCAGCCCATCGGTTGCCATCTTCGTCGGGATGCAGCCGGGAGAGATGAGCAAAGAAGATCGTGAGCCGGCGAGGGGGGCCCGACGGGAGGGCGGGCGCAGCAGCAGCCTCCGCGACCCCGAACACCGCCCTGGCCCCGCCCCCTCGGCGATGACGCGACCTCTGCGAGGACAGACTTCCCTGGCTCCGCCCACCGAGCCCTCCCTGAGAACCAGGCGGGGCTATGCCAGGGGATCCGGGAGTGGGGGTGGAAAGGGGGTCACGGGGGACTGATGGTGGATGGGGCTGGGGCTGGGGCTGGGTGGGAGGCTAGGAGAAAGTGAGGCTCAGAGACCAAGCTCTGACCCCCAACTCTCCTGGCTCCAAGGAAGCCGAGAGAAGTCGAAGCCATACAGTCCAGAGGGTTATCCAATAGAGGGTTATCCATGGTCCATCTTTATTCTGTCTCTGTCTGTCTGTCTGTCTGTCTGTCTGCATTTAGCGGGCAGGAGGCTTCCTACACCTGCCCCCCAACCTACTAGTCCAAAACATTCTTTTAAGAGTGACTTCTGACTGCCGGGGTCCTGGAAGGGGCAGGGGTCTCTCTGCTGGGGTCAGGGGCGTCCTCTCCTCTGGAATGCAGGCTTGCTTATCTTTCATTAAACTTGAGAATTTGCTGATTTCAGTGGCTCCTCTCCAGCTAGGGGCTAGGTTTCTTGGTGACTCTTCTGAGGCCCACCGGAGTCGCTCTGAAAGGAACCTCAGACACCCCGTCTTCCCAGCACCCCAAACTACAGATGAGGAATAGGCACTAAGGGTAGGTGTTGGATCCAGGCGGTTTGGGTTCACCAATAGGCACTTAGGCCTCTTTCCTTTCCTACAACATTTAGGATGGGAAAGGGGACCAAATCTGCAAATTCTGGACAGAGCAGTGTGGAAGCAGTCTCCAGTGCTGGCCTGCTCTCGTGTGTGTGTGTGTGTGTGTGTGTGTGTGTGTGTGTGTGTGTGTTTCCTCAGTCTGAGAAGGAATTTGTATTAATGTATACAAATTGTACTAATGTATACAAATTATGTATATCTTTTATGTAAGATTATGGAAGCCTTCATCTCCCTATCTGGAAAATCTATTTCCTAGCATCTGCACCCCAGGGATTTTATGAGAATTAGATTCTGTGGAGGGTACTCTAGGCCACTTCCCTGCCAGACCCCTTCTCCTTTCACTCCACTAGAGGGCTATCCCCCGGTCCATCTTTATTCTGTCTGTCTGTCTCTGTCTCTTTCATGTGTGTCTCTCTGTCTTTGTCCCTGTCTTTCTCTGTAGCCCTGGCTGCCCTGGAACTCCTCTTGTAGAGCAGGCTGGCCCAGAAGTCACAGTGCTCCACCTCCCTCCAAACACCACCATACCCAGCACTTTATCCATCATTTATCCTTAGAGTTAGCAGAACACTGGCACATGGGGACAGGTAAGTTAACGTTCGTTTATTAAATGAATGTATAAATAGGCTATCTGAGTATACACATATGTATATAAAGTGTACATTTATAGAAAGCAAGGGACCAGGGCAATGACTCAGTGGCTAACCCTCGATGCTATTCCAGAGAACCCAGGTTAGATGTCCAACAACCACTTGGCTCACAACCCTCTGTAATGCCAGCTCCAGGGAACTCGCTGCCCTATTCTGGCTCCACCAGACATTCCCATGGTACACAGACATACATGCAAGAAAACCTCCGATACCCATAAAACAAAAACATTTTCATTACAGCCTTAAATTTGTATTTATTTTATGTGTATGGGTGTTTGGGCTACGAATATGTTTACTATGTGTGTTCTGAGTGTTCGGGTACCAGGCAAGGGTGCATTACCACCTGTTACCAGATGGGGGCCTCTAGTGAGCCACAGCTTTGTGCCCAGCCTGGTGGCCCTTCTGAGAAAGGCACTATTACCCAAGGCTGAGTACACTTTTCGATGGTGATCTGGAGCCTGGAAATAGCCACCTTTGGCAAAGGCAAGATTGGAGGTAGTTTGAAAAAAGAAGTCAGGATATCTTTCCAATCCAGTCCAGTTTCTTCCCTGCCCAGCAGGTGGGCTCAGGAGCGGTGGACTTTAGTTTTGCTCTCTGTTTAGGCTGGGCAAGATCAGCCAGGCTGGCCAAACAGCTAAGACAGGGATCTGGGACAGGTCCCCCGGGAATGTTTATCTACCCGGATTTCTTCTAATTTGTTGGCTCATTGCGCAGACCCGGAGGAGATAGAACCAAAAATCATTAGCCCCACGAATAACTGCTTGCCAGGAGTGTTTTGGACATCTTGCCATGACCTCACATGACCCCTGCAGAGCCCCAGGATGCTAATCTGTTAGCATTTCTACATCACAGGTGGGAAAACAGGCCTCTGGACACAGGTGACAAATGCTTCCCCCACTGCCTAGGACAACGAGCAGGCCAGGACTCCAGACAGGCCCTCGAGCCACAGCCGGCTTCCTGGAGCCTGGGGACACTTCCTGCAAAGCTACTCTCTGTGACCCGGCTGTCACAGGCTGGATAGACAGACATCACAGATAGATAGACATCACTCTTAGGCAGAGAACATAAAAAAAAAAAAAAAAGAAAGAAAGAAAGAAAGAAATGAAACAAGAAACGGAACTCACAATCTCTGCACACGTGGAGCAGTAGCTGAGTTGCTGAGACTTCTTGAAAACGGGCCTGAGGGCTCTTTGTTTGAAGCATTTGTCACAGGAGCCGAACACGTTAACCAGGAAGGTCTGATCACACATGGTGCCCGAGAGGAGGCTGGAGGACTGGGAAAAAAAAACGAGCAAGGCATGGGGAAAGACGGCAAGTGCTGCTGGGGATCGGAGGCTCTTCCTCCTCCTGCCTCCACACATGGGCAGAGCTCACAGTGAGTACTGACCTCACGGCAACAGGCAACTCACTTAATCAACAAGAAAGCGTCGGCTGGCCAGCTTCCTGACGGACACGCGGTTAACTGGCTGTTTGGGTAGCTCACCTGCACCCTCCAAACTGATCCTTGGAGCACCATAAAGAACACTGTATTACACAGCACAGTTAATCTGTTAGCATTAGCTTTCTCTTTTTTATACATTTTGTATTGATGTGTATGTGCACACACTCTCAGGTGCCATGGTACAAAAGGATGGACGTCAGAGGACAGCTTGAGGGAGTCAGGGAACAGACTTTAGGTTGTCAGGCTTCTTGACGGCAGAGACCTTTGCCCACTAAAGAATCTTGCCGGCTTTATTTATTTATTTATTTATTTATTTATTTATTTATTTAGACAGAGTTTCTCTGTGTAGCATTGGCTGTCCCAGACTCACTTTGTAGACCAGGCTGGCCTCGAACTCACAGTGATCCACCTGCCTCTGCCTCCGGGAGCTGGGATTAAAGGTGTGCACCACCATGCCCAGCTCCTTTTATTTATGATACAAGGTTTCACGTAGCACAGGCTGGCTTCGAACTTGTTAAGCAGCAGGCCCTCCTTCCTGCAACCTCAGAGTGCTGGGGTTGCAGGCATGCACCTCCACACCTGGCCTAAGCAGGGCTTCCTGTGAGCCAGCCCAGCGCTCTACTTCCTGGGCTTTCTCCAGCCTGGAGAGCCAGTTTAAAACTTTCACAAATGCTCCTCCCCTTGGTGTAAAATTCGGATTAAAGACAAAGGTCGGAAATTGGGCCTGAGCCCAGCTAGGGGCCGTGTGTGTGGTGTTAGCTTCTTGCAAAGTGGACATTGTATGTAAGTCCCTGTAGGGTTGTCATGGGACTTATGAGACACTAACTGAAGGGCACTAAGCTCAAGGTTGGAGCTATAACAAACTATTTAAAAATCATGCTGCCCCGTGAGTGGAAGCAATGGCAGGAGCAGCGGCAGTCTTGGGGAGAAAAGAAGAGGAAAGAGCCAGAGGGGGTTAGGGCAGACAGGAAGGCTGGCTAAGACACTGCCATGGGATGGCCTTGGACAGAGTATAGGGAAGAGGAGGTAGTGGGGCTTGAAGGGGTGATGACTGAGAGATGGCCTAGGTTTCTTTTGGGAAGGGTTGCGGTGCCCTGCTGGAGATGGGGGGGGGGGGCGCCTAACAGGAGCAGCCAGCTCAGTCCTGCCGATTCCATAGCTGCTCCAAAGAGAGCCCCACCTTAAGAGTCAAGGAAATTACCCGTGAGCAGATTATGGGGCACTGAACCGGACACGTGAACAAAGGAGAGTTTGAGGTGTGTTTTGGGTGGAGGGGATATTGGGGATCCTTGGGGTAGGGGACAGTGCTATGCAGACATCACCACAGGGTCAGAGAAGGAACTAGAACTGGGGAGTTGGGCAAAGGTGTGGCCAGCAAAATACCTGAAGGTTTGGCAACAAGGGACTATAAGGCAGACCCTTTGGGGACAGAGATCTCAAGGGCCCAGATGCTGGCTGCCACACAGGGAACAGCAGGAGCGACCTCTTTATAGGGAAGCCGACCTCTTTGTGGAGGCTGAGGAGACAGAGGGATTGAACTGTGACTCCAAAGAGAGAGGGGCTGAGCGGGGACTGCAGCATGGCTCACAGAGCTACCACTTTCAAACTGCTGGGCTTGGCACAAAGGATGAGTTCCAGAGCACAGAAGTGGGCAGGGTTGGTGGCTGTCTGTCGGTAAAGCTCCTCCTGTGTAAGCTTGAAGACTTCACTTTAATCCCCAGAATCCAAGCAAACATGCCAGGGTTTGGGGGTACACTCAGAGACGGGGAGGCAGAGGCAGGCAGATCTCTGGGGCTCACTGGCCAGCCGGCCTAGTCGAAGGCCAGAGAGAAATCCTATTTCAAAAACAAGTAGATGGTACCTGAGGAAGGGTGTCTAAGAATGTTCACATATATGTATGCACATGTGTATTCATGAACATGCATACCCATGAACACGCACACATACAAGCATGTACCCACAAACAGACACCTACACTCATGAATACACACACACACACACACACACACACACACACACACACACACACCATGGACAGATGTGCCAGCAGAGCTTGGGCCCTGGGACTGTCTCTTACTCCCCAGCTCTGCACTCGATGCTGCTAGTCTCAAGGTCAAGCTGAGACATCAGGTAATAGCATTAGGAAGCAACATCACTCAAGTGCATCAGCCCAGGATTTGCTCTCCCAGAAGTAGGTCGGAGAGAGAGAACTGCCCAGAGGAGGAGATTATGTTCTAAGAGGAAACAACTCTCAAGAACTGTAATGAAGGTTAGGGCATCTCCATACACAAAAGCTGTGAAGAAGTAGGTCATGAGGAGAGGAAGGTTTATGGGAAATAAAGAAAAAGAGATCTTGAATGATTGCTAACGGTCCAAGTTTGAATAGAGACGATATTGTTTATCTTAGTCTAAGTTCTAAGACATAGAAGGTGTTTATAATGTTCACTGGAAATAATTAGAAATAGAAGAAAGTGAAAATAACCAACTGTATGTCCTGTGACAGCAGGTCTGGACCCGTTCACACTTCATGTTCTCTTGCAGTGTCTTCACAAGCATAACTAGTTTAAACAACTCCCACGTGGAGAGGCTGGTGAGATGGCTTGGCAGGGAAGTGGAGGTACCTGCTGCCAAGGCTGATAACCTGAGTTCCCAGGACCCTACACAGTGGGAGGAGACAGCTGACTCCCAAGAGTTGTCCTCTGTCCTCGACATGTGTGACACGCTCATGTCCACATACACACATAGCGTAGGTGTAGAATTTTTATACACATAAAATAATGTCATAAAAAATTGGGAGGCGAGGCCGTTAGAGATAGCTCAGTGCCTATGGGATGAGGGGTGACGGGGTCCTCTGAGTTAAATTACAGTGAAGACAGCATGGACATCTTTGTACATTTTAAATGATGACTTTCATGTTGTGCGCATTACATATTTTTGTTGTTGTTGTTGTATTTTTGAGACAGGGTTTCTCTGTGTGTAGCCATGGCCATCCTAGACTCGCTTTGTAGACTAGGCTGACCTGGAACTCACAGCGATCCGCCTGCCTCTGCCTCCTGAGTGCTGGGATTAAAGGCATGTGCCACCACACCTGGCTGAATAAAATTTTTTAAATGTGCAAAATATTTGCAGAGGTACTCCTCGAAGGGGGCTAGTCAAGCCTCACGGGGAAAGTTTACACAGACTCATTTGTCAAAGGCAGAAAACAAAACCACCATGTGACATTATTAGCTATACATGAGAACTCCTTAAATATTTAGTGTGTGTAGAGGTCAAAGGACAATTTTCGGTCGTCAGTTTTCTCCTTCCAACATGTGGGTCCTGAATATCAAACTCCAGCTCTCAGGCTTGGTGCCTTTCCCTGCTCAGCCATCTTGCCGGCTAGGCTAACACAACTAAATTTAAAAAACTGATATATGGGGTCTGGGGAAAGGGTCTCAGTGGTTGAGAGTTGTCACTTCTCCAGAGGGCCTGAGTCCTGTTCCCAAAACCCTTATTTCGAGGCGGACAAATGCTGTTAGCTCTTGTTCCAGGGGATTCAACATCCCCTTCTGGCCTGCAGGCAACTGTCCTATTGTATTCACCCCACACTCCCACTCCCCCACTCCGACACACATAGTTAATAAACAAAAATCCCGATACACAAAGCGTGGGCAAGGATGTGGGAACGTTCTTTCATTGCCAGCGTGGGCATAAAGTGGTACAGCTGTTACGGAGAACTGGCTGGTAGGACCTCTGATTGGTAAACAAACATACAGAGAATGGCTGGGTCGTTGTGTTTGTCCCAGAAATTCTACGCCTGGGTATGTGTTTGACAAAAATGCATACTTATTTCCAAAAACAAAACAAAACAAAATTGTCATCACAGCTTTGTTCGCAAATGGCCCCGAGCTGGAAAAATCTGCCTGTGCGCCAGGAGTGGACAGCAGAATGTAGTAAACTGGATTTGAGGCAGGAGCAGGTGGATCCCACGGACCCATCTTGGTGGCCCATCTGCTCGACCAGCTGCCCTTGGGACTTGGTTGGTATACTGCAGCTGGGCCAACTTTGAAAACTGAATTATTTCACCCATGCTTAAGTTGTTTACAGATGTCAACACTAGTATTTTAAAAAAATCTCTACGATTTTGAAATAAAGTCACGAAGGTTGTAGAAGCATTAGAATATACATATAGAGCAACCAGAACAAAGACACTCCCTGCTGGGCACCTGCCACAGAGAATCCCCGTGACCTTGGTCTATGACGACCCAGGCCGTACAACTGAGAGCCCAAGTTCCCTGAGGTTAAAGAGTTGCTTACCTTACAAAGCAAGGAACACCGGGGGCCGGCTGGGCAGAACGAGGGAGGTTACTGCCGTGGCGTGAAGGTCTGAGCCACTGCTCACCTAATCTCTTTATCTGGACGATGCGGCTCGGGGCCTGCTCCTCCCCATCTGCACACCCGCGCTCACTACGGGCCTCTCACTAACACACACTTGCCTCTAGAACCCTGTGCCTCTCCACGTGATTTGGACCCCTTTCACTCCCGTGGACCCCTTCCTGGACCTGTTTCTCTGCTCCCCGGTGGGTGGAGGAGACAGATTTGACTCATTTGACCTTGTAAATCTGCCCTTGGGAACATGACATGCCCTGCTTTATGTGGCGAGAGCATCTCTTAGTTCTGGCCTTCTTTCCCAACCTTTGCACAAGAGATCAAGGCCCTTTCTCCTCTGTGTATAAACTTGCCGGCATCCTCAAGTCTTTTGTCTCCAAACAAGGTCTCCTCCTACACCAGAACCCTTGCCACCTCCATGGGACCTTGCCAATTCAGTTGCCTCCTGCCACCCTAGCATACAGATAAAATATAGGATAAGACGGGACCCAGCCCTCCAGAACTCACAGGCCGGCAGAAGGCATGGCCAAGGTCACTGGCGTACAACCCAGGTAAATGCTAGAAAGGGGGCACGAATCCCAGGACACGAGATCCAGAACATTAGCATGGTGACTCCTCATGGGGCAGAGGAGGAATAGAGAGGGCACCAAGCAGAAACCCCGGCAACTCCGTCCCGCAGCCCATCCTTTGACAGCCAGGGAGCCCCAGACATCAGCACTCATGACATGCGTACCCCCTCAGGGCTTACATGCTTCAGTGACACACTGTGAACTGTGGGATTCTGACATCTCTCTGTCTCACCCTCTAGAGAGGACACAACGGTGCAGTGAGAAGATCTGTAATCTGCGCTGGCGGAAAGAACTGCATCCGATTTGCTCAATAATTTATTTTATTAAAGTATTATTACTAACGTTCTGTTTCCATCATTTGGGTACAGTTTGAAGAGGCATCAGACATCGGTGCGACGGGGCCCGCGTGTAGGAGGCACTGATTAGCTATCACCCAGTCTCCCCAGAGACCACGTCACAGCTACCGCCTGTGACCGGCAGGCTAGCGGGTGGTCAGGCCATGGGGTGCAGAGTTGGGTCTCAGCTATGGGGCAGGAGTGCCCTTCAAAGGCTCAGTATTCTGAAGGGAAGGACAACAGTTTGGGGAGAGGAGTAGGCAGTTCTTATAAAACGGGGGAAAATCAGATTTCTCAAAAGGGAGAACTCTCCCAAATCTTCATTTTCTTTCATGAAAAAAATTTAAAAAGCACATTAGAACACTGATTAGATAAACTTACGTTGACCGTGTGTGCGTATGTGTGCTGCTGGGGCCAAACTCTAGGGCCAACTGCTCTATCACGGAGCTCTGGCCCCAGAGATAAATCTAGTTTTTAAAAGGAAGAATTCTATTTTAAAAAAAAAAATTATTAAATGAGAGATTATAACAGCTATGTTGGCTGGTGCAGTTTTTAAAACATTCAGAAAAAAATGATGAATGGCATAAAGGTAAGCTTCAATAGTAAATTTGTTTTAAATAGATATATACATGAAATGCTCTCCCTCTTTTTTTTTTTTTTTTCTGAGATAGAGTCTCAGTCTGGGATTACAGGTATGTGCCACCATGCTCAGCTCTCAGACTGAATAATCTCTTAAAAATTAAAGCATTTGGATGAATTGTTTTCTCCTCCAGGGTGTCTTTAGTGAGAAGAGCTAAAAAGCTCTTCCTGCCAGCATCGATGGGGCAAAAAGTCCTTGTTCCAGTGGCCACGTGGGATTTTTTCCTGGATGCTGTAGGCGTGGAACTCACCTGGGGCTTCATAAATGCCTCTGGACTTCAGGGAAACCTTAGAAACTTGGAGAGCCACGGGGCCCCCATATTTTACTCCTGGGTCAGGGGAGGTCCCTGTCATGGAACAGAATAAACAAAGGCACCGGGAACAAAATTGAGCCTTTAGGAGCTGCAGCAATACCACTGAGGTCAGAAGCAAGAGCCTTTGCCAGCCCAGTTGGCAGCACAGCATCCATGGAAGACAGTCTCAAACTGCAGTCCACACAGTCCCCGCTCGGTGGATAACCACGTCCCTCTGCTGGACCTGCCCTCAGGGCTCCAGGGAACCCACAGCCATCTTCTTTCCTGCTACAGTCTCCGGAGAAAGCCGAGCTTGAAGCTGCTGGGGATCTGGGTCATCTCCAGGGCGTGCGGTGAGGCGGTGAAAGGAAACGTGACTTGGAAAAGGTATTTGGTGTCCAGCATCAGCTGTGATGAGTCGCCCCGGTTATTCAGGAGGACCTGATGTCAGGGAACACATGCATTATGGTCAAGAGCCAGAAAACCCAACAGCCCTGTCTCCTCCAGGGAACCCCAGCAACCACAGGAAATGACACCCAGGGTGTTTTAGCACAGAGTTTCGGGGGTGGGGGTTAAGCTCATTAGGGCCTCCAGAGAATAGGCACCTGATGCTTCATTCCAAAAGATATTCTCTGTAGGACAGACTGACTATAAATCTGTTTTTACTTACCCTTCTTTAAAAATTACATTTATTCATTTTTCTCTCTCTGTGTGTATACATGTGACGACCAAAGGACAGCTTGTTGGAGTCTGTTTTCTACCATATGGTTCTTCAACCGTAAAGGGTCAGGGGGCAAGGGTCAGGGGGCAGGGCAAACTCAGGTCTCTGGACTTGGCAGCAAGCCCCTTTACCTGCTGAGCCATCTTGCTGGCACATTTTATTATTATGTATACATCAAGGTTTAATTCTAAGCCCACACATGATGGGCATCTCAAGTTTTATGTTTTTATTGAATCCATTTGTTTCTTTATTATCTGAATATTTTTTGGTTTCAGGATTGCTTTCTACTCTTTACATTTAAAAAAATTGCCAATTGTGGTGGCACACACCTTCAATCCCAGTACTTGGGGAAGCAGAGGCAGGTGGATCTCTGAGTTCAAAGCTAGCCTGGTTTACAGTGCCAATACAGCAAGGGCTACACAGAGAAACCCTGTCTTGAGAAACCAAATAAACAGACAAACAGACAGACACATACATACATTTTCTGAAATTAAAAATTTTTATGTGTATGTTTGTCTGTATTCCACATGTGTGCATTACCCACAAAGGCCAAAAGGAGGCATCAGAGTCCCAGGAGCTGGAGTTGCAGGCAAAAGTGAGACTCAAGACATGGTGCTGGGAATTGAACTTGTGTCCTTTGAGAGAGCAGCAAGCGCTCTTAACTGCTGAGCCATTTCTCCAGTCTTACATTATACTCTTAACTAATATGAGGACTCCAAAGAGCTTTTGTGCATGTGGGTATAATTAATGATATTTTACCATATTAGTAACTGAAACAATATTTAAATAGTAATAGATTTGTTAAACTGAACATAACATTTTTGTTGAAAAGTAGCTGTGTTTTCATAATGATAAGCAAAAATAAAAAGACAAGACAGCGAGAAGCAGGGCAGCTTTCCATTTTGTGAACCTCTCCATGTCTGACCTGCTGGGAGACTTACATGTGCCCCTTGCTTCCGTATTTAGTGTGCTGGGATAAGTGGCTCTGGATTAAGTACCAGGGAATGCTATCTCATACAGGCACAGCTCTGCAAAAGGCAAAGGTTTTGCACACCCCTGACAGGGACTCCAGGACCCCCAGATCTCCCTAGTTTACTGGGAGAGAGACTTTGGGGGTGATCACAGAAAAGTGGGTCTGCAGGTCTGTTTCCATTGGGCTCTGCCCATTTGCACTGCTTCTCAAAACCAGCTGAGGAGTGACACGGCTCAGTGGAAGGGAACTTGCTGCCGAGCCTGACAACCTGAGTTCGATCCCAGGGACCCACAAGACAGATGGCCATAAGCTGCAAGCTGTCCTCTGACCTCTATTCACACATCGTGACATTCAGGTACAAACCCTGGGGCAGACATGCACGCGCGCGCGCACACACACACACACACACACACTGTCTTTAAAAAAGGAGTAGCTGAAGGTCAGATTCGGTTAATATGTTTCTATTCCCTTCCTATCAGGACTGAAACAAGTTAAAAAAAAAACAAAACAAAACACTTGCTGTCATTGAGCTGGTGTTTCCCATGCTTGGGGCCTCTGCTTTAATCCTGGCCTGCCTCATTTTAGTGGAGTATCAGTGTCCCACAGAGTGAATGAGAGGTCAGATTAGCATGGTCACATAAAGATCTCACCTGTACTTTGCGGACAAAGGACGGAGTGACTCTCTTCTCGAAGTCATCGATAGGCGTGTATGAATTAAGGATCTTTATGATCTGTGAACATTAGAAAAGAACAAACAGTTCCGGACAAAGCAGCTCACGAGGTTCTCTGGGTCCATGTGTTGCCTACTCCCAAGAGGACAGAAAACAGCACAGGGTAGGGAGTGCAGCACAGGACGACCACCCAGAAGACAGTGAGGCCCGCTCCCCTCCCAGCCCCTGCCCATCTTAGTGCACGCATACATATTTATGCCTTGCAGGCTGCAACCAGGATCCACCCAATAGTTATCAGGGAAAAGAGAAGTCACGCAGGTCAGGTGCGTCTCACAGCCAGCTGGGGAAATGACTGCCTCGGGATCTGCCCATCATGGTCCAGAGAGGGGCTGGGCCAGCCCACTCACCTGCACAGCGGAGAGGGAGGTGCAGCATTCTGAGATCTCCTTGGCGTCGCTGTCTGTGGTCTTCTTGACCTGGAGTAACCAGGCCGCCTGGGAGAGGGGCTCCAAGGTCTCCTTGGCTAAACTGTTCTGCAAATTCTTATCTTTAAGCCACTCTTCTAAATAGCTGATATTGCACCTGGAGAAAAGGCAGAGGGCACCTCAGGGAAGATGGTCAAATCCCTCAGCGTGTCCTAGAAGCCGGCAGAGCTCACTACATGCTTTGGGGCAAAGTCCAGCAATCTCTCACTTATAACAGGAGGGCAAGGACCAGGAGACAGCTTTCCAGATCACGGGAGATCTGTCTCGTTGCCTCTGGGATCTGTAGACATCGTGTTCACATACACATACCCCGACATGGACATACACATACACACACACACACACACACACACACACACACACACATACACACACAGTTGAAAAACAATAAAAATAAATCGCTAAAAAGAAAACAACACCCTACATAAACCTAAATAAATAGTGAATTACATTAAATTAAAACAGCCTAAATTCCTCAATTAAAGAAGCTCACATGGTCAGACAGCATTGAAAAAGAAAATTCTCTGGCCTGGGCTGGAGAACCGGCTCAGCAGTTCCGATCCATCCCTGCTCTTGCAGAGGACCTGTGCTGGCTTCCCAGCACCCACACTAGCAGCTCACAACTGTCTGTAACTCCAGCTCCAGACCAGCAGTTCTCAACCTTCCTAACGCCGCGACCCTTTAACATAGTTAATCATGTTGCGGTGACCCCCCCCAACTAGAAAATCATCTCGTTGCTACTCCATAGCTGTGATTTTGCCACTGTTATGAACCGCAATATAAACACCGAATATGCTGCCATTGTGAAAAGTTGGTTTAGGGGTCGCGACCCAGTGGTTGAGAACCTCTGTTTTAGAGGCTTCTGATCCCTTTCTGACCTCTGTGGGCATTATAGTGACACATACACATTCCTCCCAAACAAGTAATTCAAAAACAAAGTCTTAAACAATCACTGAGACACTTGCATGCACTAGCTGCAAGAAACTTAGCTCAAATAACGCCATCGGTATGTTAAAAGTAAGTGGATAGAAAAAAAGGTTATGAAAACATTAATCAAATAAATCTGGTGTGGCTATAATAATTAAAAAAAAAAGGCTTCTGAGAAAAGAAAATTACCAGGAAGGGACAGCAGGACATTACATAACCGCTTCCTCAGTGCATCTGTCCTCCGCTGCTTGTGACTAAAAGATTGGTGTCTTGGACTACTACTAGGCCGTTTTGAGCCTCTCGGCATTTTGCTGGGTTCTCTACCTTGACCGGGCCAGTCACGTGGAAACTTAGAATCCACAACATACTGATACCATTCTCACAGGCCAGACCCTCAGGTGGGCAGTGGAGTGTGTGAAAGCGTTGCTGTGGGGCCACCGGCAAACCAACACTCAAGAGGCTCCGGGAAAGGCAGGCAGGGTCTGCCACCGGGGACCTGGCCTCTCTGAGGGGGCCCGGCGTGTGGGTCTTACCTGATCTGCATCCCTTTCCTGCAGGAGCACATGTCCTTGCGCAGGAGGAGGCTGTTGAGCGTCACGGCCCCTATCAGGTAGAAGAGCTGCTTGACCGCCTGCCTCACAAGCTCGGGGTCCAGGCCGTTCTGCCTCATGGTGCTGTAGAAGTAGCTCAGCTGCTGCAGGACGGACGTCATGGTGTAGGCGTCTGTGTCGTCGATGCTGGAGGAGCGCTTCCGGAAACCAGTGGGCTTCAGGCCGGAAATGCCCTGCAGGCTCTCGTACTCCAGCATGCCTGGCACTGCGGGGAAGGGAGGAAAGCTCCTTTCACAGGGGTCGGCCCCGTGTCTGGTTCTCCTAGTGGGTATATTTGTGATAGAGAGCTGTGGGGAGTGTCGAGATAAGCCTTATGGAGGCCGATAAAAGGGCGAGTGAGGCGTCCGCGGCTCCTCCGGCTCCTCGAACGATCCTGATCCACTGCACACAGTGTTCATCTGCTAGGGACTCCTAGCACACTAGTGAAGTCTCAAAATGGACCCGAGGCTAGAGCTTCCCCTTCTTTCCGGAAGTCTCCTGAGGTGACCTTGTGCCCCCACATTTCCTTAATAGTTGCACCGACCTGACTGATTGTCATTGGTGCTTGAGGCTAGAATGGGATGGTCTGATTGGGTCATATAAAGGTTTATACACTGCACAATAAAGTTAGATCTGCACCTTGAGCCCAGTCTCAGGAGTCTGAGTCCCGGGATTCTGTGTGGGCTCCCTCGCCACTCATATCCTGATCCCCACAGAGCGAAGTGGCTAATCTCGGTTGTGAGCTCGATGGGAGCTAGAATTACCTAGGAGACACACTTTCGGGTCTGTCTAGGCATTCTCTAGAATTAGGTAAATGAAATGGGAAAACCCACCCTGAGTGTAGGTCAGCGGCATTCATGCCCTGGGGTTCTGGACCAAATAAAAGGCAAAAGCCTTCTTAACTCCTGTGATCATCTGCTCTGCTTCCTCACGGGGGGAGCCTTACTGGCAGCTGCCTCACGGTCCCACCAGTGGCCATTCTTAACTTGGAGGACTGTTTCCTTAATCTGTGAGCCAAAGTAAACTCGTCCTATGTTTCTTTTGACATAGAAACAACAACAACAACAAAAAGTACTAACCTTTTTTAAAAAAAGAACTGAGTATTTTTGGGGTGCCAGAGTATGCTAGGGCATAGACCACAGTTTACAGAAGGGCAGGGGTACCTCCTGGAGGCTTGAGACAGTGCCCCCATGGGAGAGAAATCTAGCTAACAGTGTGTAGCTCAGGGGCTGGGAATCATCAAAGCCTGAGGTATGGAAGCCTGAGGTATATAAAATGAACAGCGTAAGTTCTCCACAGAGTTTCCTTCAGGAAAAGGCATCTTTACGCAAAGAAGATGGTCAACTGTGTGTTATTGTTTACGGAGTCACTTTAAGGAAGCAAAGAGTGAAGAGGTAGACCCTTATGGGGATTATTGTTGTCTTAGTGTTTCAAGCTGTGTTATTCATAATCACACATAAATCACACACGAAGTTTCTATTTTTAGAGGCCCCTTGGGCTGGGGTTGTAGCTCAGCTGGTAGAATGCTTGCCTAGTATGCATGAAGCCTTGGTTTGGTTCTCAGGCACGGTGGCATATGCCTGTGATCCCAGTACTCAGGAGATGCAGGCAGAAGAATCATGAGTTCAAGAAGACCTTCCTGGGCTATAGTTACATATCAAGTTGAAGGCCAGCAGAGGCTACAGGAGACCCTGTCTCAAATCAAACAAACAGCTTCGCTGTTTCTGTAAGTATCCTTCAGCCATTAATTCTCTTCTTACCTATTATGGGCTGGATGTTGTTTGCCATCACAGTGATGAACTGATGATAGATCCGTATAGCCACATCACTCATAATCTGCCTGTATTCTGTAAGATCAAAATTGTTCAAGCAGTTCTTATTCTGCTGTGGGCTGTTATACTTCATGAATTCCTGAAAGCAATTTGAGCACAAACATGAGAGTGCTGTGGACAAGAAGGAAGTTGAAATACTGTCTATCCTAAGGATGTTATAATCGGCCTCTAGGGTAACTGCTGCAGCTTAAAACTTAATCTCTGCTTCTAAATGAGCTCTTCTAGTTATTTTGTATGACAAAATAAGAAAAAAGGCAATTTATTGTATGGTCTCAGCCAGTCACACCTGGAATCACAGCACTGCTTTTGAAGCAGAGAGCTACAGAGACAGATACCTAAAAGCCACTCTGTTGTTCTAGTTCAGTGAAAAATGCCCCAAGCGAAGCTTGAAGGAGAACACCTTCATGGTGTCAGTTCCTGGAAGAAGAGTTGGGGTGCAGGGGTCATCTACTTATGGATTATGGATGAACAGAGCCCTCTAGAGAAAACAGTTAGAAAGACAAACCAGAGGTTATATTTTGGGGCATCATACTGAAATCCACAGAAGGTCCCCATCAGGAGGAAACAAGACAATCTCATCTATTGATTTGACAGCTTATTAGCCAAAGCCCCACAAGGGCTTCCTGGAGTTTCCAGCATGAACATCCAGGCACAGAACAGGTGGTAGGCAGATCGGCTCCCTAGGTGAAGAGGAGGCCAGCAAGATGGCTGGCACAGAGGCTGTGTGGACTGCGGAGCAGGGTACCCTGGTTACTAATGTATGCCTCTGTGAGCCAGGTCCTGAGGTGGTCCTAGGTTGCCAGCAGCAGGACAGGTGTGTGTCCCTACCTCTTCTCCACTGTACTGCTTCAGGCAGTTGAGGAAATGGCAAGTGTTGGAAAGCCAGAAGGACAGCATCTCCAAATCTTCAAGATGTTCCTTAGGCAAGAGAAGACAATGTTGGATGGGCATGGTGACACACACCTTTAATCCCAGCACTTGGGAGGCAGAGGCTGGTAGATCTCCCAAGTCTGAGGCTGGAATGGGCTACACAGTGAATCTCTGTGTCAGCAAACAAACATAAGAATAAGCTCAGCTGGTAACTGCTGATCTGTGTGCCATGCGAATGTAGGTTCCTCTCCACATGGTAGCCAACTGTCTAAGTACCTGGTCTAAGTAGCCATCCAGTCTGCTAAGTACAGATGGGGAGGGGTATTTACCACACTGAATAGAATCTGGAGTCCCGAGTAACTGTGTGGAGAAGAGCCGCCCTCCAACCTGGATGAGTCATTACGGGAAAGTTAGGATTACCAGAAGGCCCTCTATCTTCTTCAACACACTGTATATTCGGGGTTGGGGTGGGCTGGGAGGGGTCTTAGCTACAGTATTTTAACCTTACAAAGTCACCAACCTAAGGAGCGCATAGTTCTTCTTTTCCAAACCAGGAAAAACAGTAATAATAACATTTTAATTTAAAAATTTATTATATATATGAATATGTGTGTGTGTGTGTTTTATTTACATGTGTGCAGTGTCCATGGATGTTAAAAGAGGGCATCAGATCAGAACCCTTGGAATTGGAGTAATGAATGTAGATTGGAGTTACCATGTAGATTCTGGGAATTGAACCCACGGTCCTCTGCAAAAGTAGCCAGAGCTCTTAACCACTGAGCCATCTCTCCAGGCCTAACAACAATGTTTTAGGAAGGAGAATAATATACTTGTCAATGGAAGAGAGGAATAATTTCCCGTTTTCCCTACTGCTACACTGATGGACCATACATCCCTTGCACATGAGGGGATGGAGAGGTGAGGGTGATGGCTACAAACTGTATCCTCTCCCTAAGTCTTTGCGGCCTACTGGCAGGGCCTCATCCATTTGTCTTTCCTTAGTATCTTTCCTTCTTCAGGGAAGAAAACTAAGGGTGGACAAAGGCCGGGTGTCGGGTGGTTTCCCAGAACTGTTTCCAGATCAGGTACCATGTCAAGGACCCCTACCTTCACCACGTGCTTGATGCCGTTAATGGCACTGTTCATGAGTGATTTGAGCATGTTGGCATCGTTTAGGGAGTCTGCGTATCGCACACACATGAACAGGATGTGAGCTGGCAGCCCGGGGATCATGTTCACCACCACACCTCGGGGCTTCAGGTCTGTAGTAGAAAGAAACATGCTCTCAGATGCTGGTAAGCCCTCCTCCTATGACTGCTGGGGGCGGGGTGGGATGGGAGATGGGGAGGGGGTGGGGGTCCTGGCCTCTCTGTGCTTGGGTGAGGCCTGAGAGTACAGGTATGTCTTCTCTCTCTGAGAAATTCAATATGGGTTTTTACTTGGCAAAAGTACAAGGGGGCCACTGGCTCCCCTCACACCTCATCTGTAAAGGGCTCCCACTCTTAAGAGGCCAGATAGCAGAAAGAAGTTGTAATTTTCCCTGGTGTGGAGGCTCTAGGCATTGCACCTCCAATAAAAGAAAGGAACCCAAGCCCCAAGGTACCTCACCCAATCCCTTTGATAAGGATGGAAGCAATCTCAAGCCTCGGGAAGTTGTTTTGAATAGAGACACTAGTGACCAGTAATACTGCAGAGGGGACAAGCTAGCCTCAGGATAAAAGATGTCAGAGAGGTGCTGGAGAGATACTCAGAGCTTAAGGGCACTGGCTGCTCTTGCAGAGGACCCAGTTCGGTTCCCAGTACCCGTATCGTGGCTCACAGCTATTTGTAACTCCAGTTCCCAGGGATCTGACCACCTTTTCTGGCCTCCATGAACGCCAAGAATACACATGGTTCACATAGAGACCTATATACACGCAAGTAGACACTCACACACATTAAATAAAGTCTTAAAGAGAGAGATGTCAGCGAGAAAGAGCAGGGATGAAGAGGGAAACCTCACAAAAAAACCCAGCACCCTTCTGTGGCTGAGTTACGACAGAGATCCCTCTGTGTCAAGGCAGGTGGGGCAGTGTTAGGGTTTGAACCTGAAGTGTCCCTTATAAACTTACGCTTTGAGTGCTTGTTTCCCAACTAGTGGTGCTCTTTGGGGAGGCTGGTACCTCCCTGGTGAAATTAGGTCATTAGGGGCGGGCCTTCAAAGAAGGACACCAGTCCCTGCTGTTGTCTCTGTTTCCAGCTGCTGTGCGTGAACAGGTTTCACTGCACGCTCTCAGCACCAGGAACTCAGTCTGCCCCACCATGCCAAAATAAACCTCTCTTCCAGTTGTTTCCGTCAGGCATTTTGCTAGCAGTGACTGAAAAGTAAGCAATAGCCTGATGCTCTTTTTGGGGCTTGGGAATTCGAGATAGGGTTTCTCCCTGTAGCCCTGGCCATCCTAGAACTCACTGAATAGACCAGGCTGGCCTTGAACTCAGAGATCCACCTGCCTCTTCCCCTGAGTGCTTGGATCCTAGGTATGCCTGATTATGTCCAGGACTAGGAACTGCATCTTCCACCCTGACCCTACGATGAGACCTGTGAGAAGGCTGGGGTAGTGGTTCTTAGCTGAGGTTCATTTTGGTTCCCCAAAGGACACTGGCAGTGCTGTAAACAACGGAGTTGATGCCAGTTTCTGGTGTAGGCAGAGTCATGCTATGTGCTGCTGCGGTTTACAGTGCAAACCCCTGTCCCTCGATCAAGAATCACTGAGTCAGTTAGCGCTGAAGCCAGGAAGCTTCAAGCTTGGGAAGAAGCCATGAAGGAAGAGAGAAGAGAAAGGACAGCCCCTGCCTAGGACTTTTTGAGCTGTCTGATGTTCAAGTTCTCAAAGAGAAAGCATAACCCAGAGATCTGGGTTTGACTACCAAGAATGAGGTTTTGAATGAGCTTGGCCTCATCTTCTTTCTTGTATTCCAGCATTCCAAGGTACTCCTTGGGTCCTGAGGGCAGGTACACATTGTTGGCTGTAGACAGAGGCAAATGGTAAGCTACATCCACAAAACCCACAATCCCCGGTTTCACAGTGAAGATACTGGTGGGTTCACCCTGCCCCTGAACTGCTGTGGCTGGCAGCTCTGTTAGAGCTGTGCGGTGCGTTAGCTTTCTCCCTACAGTGAGCATGGCCATTGCTGAAAAGACTGAGATGTCCTTGAATGAGTTCCTGATGCATCTCCAACACGGCAGGGAGGGAAAGAAACCCAAGTTATTGCCCTGATGTCGTCTACTGGGAAGGACACAAGACTCAGGGACCAAGTTTGAGTCACAGGGTCTTGACCACAGGGGTGGGCAGGAATGCTAATCTCCAAAGGCTCCTGCGTTAACCACCACAAATTTTGTGGTAGGAATGGTAGGTTGCTAGGTTTGGGGGTACTGTGTTACACAATGACGGATAACTGACACAGGCAGAAAAGAGTTCTGATTCAAATGTGTTGAGTTGTAAGAAAGTAGTTAAAGAGACAAAATGAATCAAGGGCTCAGGACAAGAAGTGAGGATTAAAAATGGGTTTGGGTGGACATTATACAGAGAATGTAGCCCATTATTTTGTTCATCTACTCATTTTTTGTTCATCTAACCATCTTCCATCTATCTTACATTCATCATCCACCTATCTTCTATCCATCATCTATCTAATTTATCAATCATCCATCCATCCATCCATCCATTCACCGATTCCAACAGTAGAGATATAAAGGATAGGATATCCAGACCTTGTCCCTGTTAACATGGGACAAATTGGCATATAACATCTATTACTGAAGAGGAAAGAGCCTCAGTTCAGCAGAAGAGTTTCCAGGTCAGCAGCTGTGTCTGCCTCTATTTCAAATTTAAGTAGTAGAGTATCTAAGAATAAAGGAGGTCTTCAAAGGAACAAGCATGGAAAAAGAAAGAGATGGCTCCAGGTATAGCCTGTGCAAGCAAGGCTGGGATGAAGAGGAAAAGTAAAGAGCAAAATTGTGAAGAACACGAGAAAAGAGCAGAAGGCTAGCATGGACACAGACTCCAAAGCAGAAAGGAAAGAAGGCTGTGGTTCCTTCCATTGGGCTTCATGGGGACAGGCTACACACGTCATTCAGCTGAGGTCAGGATGTCATGGCTGTCTTCTTTCTTTTTCTCTCCGCTAATAAGAATTGAGATACTGATCTGTCTGTGAGAGGTAGTCTTCAAAATGACTGATTGGACACTCCTTTACAATCTCATCTTGAAACTGTGGAACTAACAGAAAGGGGATAATGTATTTGTTTTAGGGTATCTCTTGAAATGACGTGAGTGTGCCCAGTATCTGACGCAGTAAGCATTTATGCCTTGCAGGCTCTTTAGCTCATCCCTAAGTCCTAAACCTGAAAAACTGAGCTTCATTCCTTTGGGCTCTGTGTGCTTTGGACAAGGCAGAGGCCACACACTTCTGAATACAGTGTCTTACGCAAAAGCTTAAAAGAATGAGAGTGTTCCCCTCCTACCTTTTTCGATTGTCTTGGTCAGAGTCTTGACTTGATCCTGTAGCTTTTTAATCATTCTGTCCTTCATGTCTAACTCTTCTTCAAGATCCTGCAAGAAACCCAAAGATACAAGGACTTAGAGGCATCTTCTTTGGGTTTGGTTTTGTTAATGGCATTATGGAGCTCTATTTCACATACTGTAAAATTCACTCACATACATGATTTGCATAGCGGCCGCTTTCTGTATTATCCAGTTCCTGATATTTCCAAGGTACCCTCAAAGAATGCTACGTCTGGGCTGACTCAGAGGGTCAAGAAGCTTCAAGCCTGATGCTCTGAGTTCAATCCCAAGTACCCACATGCTGGGTCCTTCAGGTTGTACACATGTAGACACGCGCACGTGCACACACACACACACTCACACAGTCCTTGTTAGCTTTTTGCTAACTTAACATCAGCTACAGTCATTTGGGAGGAGAGAACCTCAATTCAGAAAATGTCCCCACCAGCTTGAACTATGGGGAATTTTCTTTATTAATGATTGATGTTGGAGGGTCCGCCCCATTGTGGGTGGTATCACCCCTGGGCAGGTGGCCCTGGAGGATATAAAAAAGCACGCTGAGCAAACCACCACCAGAAAGCCAGGAAGCAACGTTCATCCAAGGCTGTGTTTCAGGTTCTGCCTTGAGTTCCCTCCATGACAGACTGATGTATAACTGTAAGCGGAAATGAACCCTTTTCTCCCCAGGTGGCCTTTGGTCATGTTGTCTTATCCTATCAATAGATAACCTTAAACAAGACACATACAAACATAATTTTTAAAAGTGTAAAAACCCTGTATCCTTGATCTGTCGCTCGTTAGTTTATTTTATGCGGTCACTCATTTCACTATGGCTGCGGGTTTGCCTAGTCTAGACATTCTACACCAAGGAAATCACACAAGATGTGGTATTTTACTTCTGATACTTCCATATAACAACGTTTTTCATATGGCTGATATCCCTTTTTACTACTTCTTACTTTATGGATATAGTACATCTTTATCTATATCCCTTGGTTATAAGTTAATGTCCAACACAGACTTTAAAAACAAGAGCATGGGAAATGGGCTTTTTTGGATGTCAGAAGAAGGCACCAGAAGATTGCCCTAACATTTGGGTGTGGCTGTCCATTTCCTTCCTCGCCCATGCTGAGTTTGACTTACATACTGGGAGGGTCCCAGGTACCCAGAACTATCTCTTATAAAGGGCATAGAGTGTTTCAGTTCTTCTGAAAGCGACTACCTGTTATTTTGTCCTGTTTCTTTACGACAGGATCTCACGTTCTCAAACTCCCTTCAGGGATGACCTTTAACTTCCGACTCTCCTGCCTCCACCTCCTGAGTGCTGGGATCACAGGCACTCACCACTTGGCCGGCCTGTGCAGTTCTGGGGAGGGCAAGCCCTCTACCGCTGAGTTTTATCACCACACAATCACCTGTCTTTGAGGTAAGGACACAGCGTGCTCTGACAGAAGGCCTTCTGGTCCCCAGCTGTTAGTCTCATTCCGTAGGTGGCAAGCTCCCTCCACTCAGCGCACCACCACACAGGCAGCCAACCATCCCTACTCCTCACCCTGTTTTCCAAAGACAGCCGAGATGCCTCTTGTTGGAGAGGACTCTTGACGTCTCCCTCAGCTTCTGGTTGCTTCTTCGGGAACTCTCTGGCCTCCTGCAGTTCTTGGATCTTACCCATCAGCCCCTCTTTCCCTTCAGGAGGCATTTCACCGTGTGCTTCCAGGGCCCTGAGGAAGGGACAAGGTGCTCTGGGCATCGGCGTGACCACCCCGGCGTTGATGACTGCACAGATAGGAGAGCACTGGCCAGTTCCCACCAGAACACTCACTTGCCCTGTATTCCCTCCTCCTCTCGGACTCGAGGTAGGTGGCTGAACGGCTCTTCCAGCTTTCCTGTTGTGAGAGACCCGTCAGTGCTGTGGCCAGCCGTATCACTGAGTTCTAACTTGGGGTTGCCATTATTTTCACAGATCGAAGGCTCTAACCCGTATCTAGTCAGAGGCTAGGTTTTATTTGGTCTGAACAAAGCTTAGTTTTTTTTTTTTTAACGCATTACTTAAGAATGACATTTTATATGAACATCACCTTTCTAGATTTTCCTTAAAAATAGTAATAGCATCCCAGGCTACATTCCCACTGTGCCAGACACCACTGGAACTTGAAGGAAGCCGTTCCCTTTAATACCCCACCCATTCTTGCCTTCCACCCAGCTCACCTTGTACCCCGTTGTTACCTGCCGGACCCTAGAGACCACAGCTTAATGTCCCAATGCCGTGGCTTCCTGTGCATTTCCTAGATGCTTGAGTCTCTAAGAGCAGGACCTGGATGATTCCAATTACCTTCCATCTTCTCAGCCTGCTCCTTCAGGCGGCATTCAAGATCCTGCTTCTGCCTCTCCAGCTCTGAAATCTGCTGCTTAAAGTCTGGGATCATCTTCAGGAAAGAGAGAAAACTATTAGAATTTTTAATGGATAAGTTTGGATTTTTGCGCTCTCCAAAATGGACACTCACCCATCTCCTTGTCTAGCTTGTGGAATGCACAGCTGTGTAAAAGGCCTGCTGAGGTACTAGCATTCGCTGACATTACATCCCCTCCTCCCTCATCTGAAGACCTATGCAGTGGGCTCAAGAAATCCCAGCATGCTCAGAGAGAACAGTTCTCACATGGCTAGCCTGGGAAGGAAAGAGGTGCACTGTGGGAGAGAAAAGGTGCCCTGTGCTGAGTGGCACCAAGGACTACAATGCCATCTCACCCAGAAGAGGACGCACTATCGGAGATCATTCTGCAGCTGGAATTGTCCAGGACTCTTCCACAAGCCCCTCTCCTTTGTTGTGTATCTTTTTGAATGCCCATCCCTTCCTCACCCAGTCAGGTAAGAAGAGTTTTTCTATTCTCTAAGTTTATACCAACACCCAGGCCTCTGAAGCCCAAAGAAAGAATACTTCTAATTAGATCTCACTGTCAGTCCCTCATCAGCGTTTATCTCAGAAATACAGAAGCCTAGGAAGGCCCTTAACTGGGGCACAGGGCCCGCTCCCGTTTGCTCCCTGGGGGGGGTAGCTCTGGGAGTCCCAAGTTATGGTTAGAGAAGGAGCAAAGAAGCAAAACAGCAGCAGCTAGTGAGCTGGAAGAAGGAGCCTTGAGGAGTGTGATCCTCTGGAGCCCCAGAGGCAGGGGAGCAGCCAGTGTTGCCACAAATTGCCAAGGGGCTTGTGACAGAATGGGGTGATTGCAGAAAAAATAAAGGATGTGTGGAAGAATGGTTAATGACCTTGAAAAGACCTATCAACTCAAAGAAACAGGATGGTGAGTGCAGCAAATCATGGATAAGAAAGTGTGTGTATCTTGAAAGCATGTGTGTGTGTTTGTGTGTGTCTGAAAAGCATGTGTGTGTGTGTGTGTGTGTGTGTAGATCCTGAAAGAAGTGTGTGTGTGTGTGTGTGTAGATCCTGAATGAATTGAGCAGGTATGAAGGAGAAAAAGGGCCAGATAAACCAGATAAACACAGTAAGAAGGGAAAGATTTAGAGGATATTCCAGGGATGAAGAGATGGACTGACACGAACATGTGCCCTTTTCCAAGAGCCACGATTTTGCCTTGGTCTGCTTTGGGTTTTGTTGGAGTCTGAGACTAGAATCAAATATATAAATTTAAGCACATTCACAGAATTTGAACCCATCACATGGTAATCAAACACTCTCAAATCTGAGTGTTTTCCAGCCTGGGAACATTGTATAGATTTATCTTTTGATCTCATTATTTACCACTAGAGAACTAGTTAAAATGAGCTATCTTGCTGCAAAGAACTGATTTTTGCTCCGCCAGTGAATAATGCCTCTGGAACAATGGCTGCCAGCAGGCCATGGCAAGGCCGTACCATGTTTTCTGATGTCAGCCTGCTGACTTCATGACGGATGCTTTCATTGATGTCTGTCTCTTCTCTGAACAGTTTCTGCAGGTGGTTGATCTCTTGGCTCAGGTGCACGACTTTGAAGTTCAGACCTTCAATCTCTTTTTCATAGCAGTCCTTCTGAGACTGGAAATGGCTCTCCAGAACACTGTTAAAGGAAGGGTAGAGGAATGAGCCCAAGGTCTCTGGGTGGCCACAGCAAGATTATCACACAGCTGCTGGGAAAGCTAGGGTCAGCGTTTCACCCTCTGGACCTAAAGCTGACAATGCAGTCACAGAGACAGCGGAGGAATTAGGAACTGTAATCAGAAGACCCTGACCGCTGTTATCACAGTGTGCGTGGTTAACATGTGGCTAATGACAAGGACATTCCATTTTGGAAGCAATTCAGTGATGTTTTTACAGCTAATCGTAGAAAAGCTCTGTTATGCAGGATACAAATGTGCTTTGTGTGTCCCTACATGCTTTTGAGGATTCACTGAGTGTCCAAGATGGGTCCTAATGTGAGCCTTTGGCGGGACCCTGCCGAGATCCAATTGTGCCTGCTTCCCTAACGCCAGGATTAAAGGCATATATATACCATCACGTCCAGTGGGGGGAAAAAAATCTATTTTCAACTCAGTTTTGTTGGGGACCTAAGACTTCTTTAAAACACAAAGTTTATTAATTTAAAGAAATGCGGAAGCTTCTTCAATCATTTGCTTCTGTGATATAACGTTGTTTTCCTTTAAAAACATTTACGCACTTTTATTTCATGTGTATGTTTCCCTGCCTGTGTGTACGCCTGGAAATCATGTGTAATGCCTGTGGAGGGCAGACCTGGAGCTGGAGATATAGATGGTTGTGAGCTGCCGTGTGGGTGCTGGGAAACTAATGGACGTGGGTCCTTTGCAAGAGCAGGTCAGTGTTCTTAAGTGCTGAGTCATCTCTCCAGTACAGATTTTATTTGCTTTTTTTCAGGTAAGGTCTCTAGCCCAGGCTAGCCTCAAACTTCTTAGGAAGGTAAGGATGACCTTGAACTTCTCCATCTTCTTGATTTCACAGTGCTGGGGGTCCAGGTCTCACACCCCATTTTTTTAGTACCAGGGATGGAAATCAGAGTTTCATGCATGCCAGGCAAACATTCTATTAACTGAGCTTCATCCCCAGTCCTGTAATCAGTTTTTATCAGACATGAGGCCTCCCCTCTGGACAAATGGCTAAATTCTCAGAGAGGTCTTTCTAGGGTTTATTAGATAATTCTACCATAAGAATTTACTTCACACGTCAAATCTAGGTGAGCTGAACTTTCCAACATTGTATTGTCTCTGGAAAAAAACAAAAACAAAGCAAACAAAAAAAAACACATGAGAATTATGTTTCACCGAGTTGCTTTCTTTAGTCCTTCATAGGCAAACCAAAGTTCTCCATCCTCATTTAAGTGTTCCAGATCTTCCACAGAGAGCCTGGAAAATAAAACGAAGGAGGCACGAACGTCTAGCCTTGCTCATGTTTTATATGGTTTATGTGTGTCAGTCCTACAGTACAATTCATCTTGCTTTTTAAAAGATTTGTGTGTGTGTGTGTGTGTGTGTGTGCGCGCGCGCGCGCGCGCACGCGCGCAGGTACTGGTGGTGACCAAAAGACAGCATCAGATCCCTTATGAAGCTGGAGGTACAGCTGATTGTGAGTCAGTGACGCAGGTGCTGGGCACTGATGCCTGGTCCTCTGAGGGGGCAGCAAGCACTCTTTCCCATCTGTCTCTCAGAGAACCATCTGTCTCTCCGACCCCAGCACCATTTTCTTTTTGAGGCAGGGTCTCTCAGCGGCCTGGAGCTCACTGATTAGGCTAGACCGGCTGGTCAGCAATTCCAGGAATCCCTCTGTCTCGACCTCCCACTGGTTGGTCACCAGCATGGATGTGATGCCATGTTTAGCTTTTCTTTCTCTTTTTGGAAACACATGGGCTCTAGGGGACACACTCACACTCACACGCTAACAGGTGGCCGAGTCACCTCTCTAACCTGTTCTATGTTTGTAAGTGTCTGATGATGTAAAATTGATCACCTGCTTCTAACGTCTTCAATGTCATAGCTCTCCAGGAGCTGTTGGGTGACTTCTGACATCCTTTCTGGAAGGAAAGAGAGAGCGGCATAAATTGAATTTGAACATGACTTTCTTCCCCATGGCCTCTCCGGGGTTGCTTCTATATCCCACCACTGAATAACCTACCGGCTGACCACCTTCTCAGATATCCAACTATCAAGCCATCTAGACTACCCACTAACCAGCCCAGGCCCAGGGTACCTCTCATTTCCCGCTTCTGCGACTGCACGTGTTTTTCCACTTCTATCTTCTGTGCCTGAAGCAGCTCTATCTCCTTCTCAAACTCAGCAATGGTCTGAAGCAGAGCCACGAACAAACCGGTGCAGAGAAAAACAGCCGTTACACTCTTCATCAGGCAAGGCTGCACGCCTGTCCCAGGGCATATGGCGCCCTGCGGCCTCCAGGCGGCTTCCTAGCTGGAGTCTTAGCTGGCTCTCACAGCCTGGCAGCTTGCCCTGTAGCAGCTCAACTGCTCAGCTGGTTGCAGATCTACCTGGTTACGGGAATTAGCTTCCCCATTGTAAAGGAAGAAAACAATTGCAAGTTGGCTGTGAGAGGTGTGGAGGGCCAACTGAGGAGAAATCACAGGTCAGGAAGGCGAAAGTGCCTTCCTAGGAGGCTTTGGTCTTCAGCTAGGCTGAGAGGGGGTGCAGCTGCAGAGACAGGAGAGGCTTGGCACCCTGGGAGAGTTTCCTACAAACATCTCTGCTGGCCAAAAAGGGCTGCAGCCACTGCTGTTCACGCTGCAAGCTCAGCTCAAGGAAGACCACATGCAGCAGAGGTAAAAAGTCCTCTTCAGATACCCTAATACTCTGAGTACTGACAGGCCCAGCTCTGGACTCCACAGAGCCCACAGAGGGTGCTCCGTCTAGACACCTAATCCCCTTAATAGACCGTGAGGTGAGTAGAACAAGCTGGGCAAGCCCTCATCGATTAGACAATGAATCTACGCTGAACTGAAGGTTAAATGACGCATTCGGGCTCATGTGCCCGGCTTATGGGACTGTCCAGCCTGAAGCCTTGTTCCTGTTCGTGATTCTCTACACATTTCAGGTGATGTCTGCATTCACTTACGGTCTTTGGACTGTATCACAGAAAAGTTGATAATGACTGTTAAGATCTTTGTACGCCTGAGCTCTTAATGCGTCAGTGGGAGAGAGCGACATCTACTGGCGCCCCACTCCAAATGCAGGCTCACAATTCCCCCAGTTGTAAGATTAGCCTGGAGAGGCGGCTCAGCCATTAAGAGCACAGAGGACCTGGTTCAATCCCAGCACCCACACGGTCACTCACAGCTGTCTGTACTTCCAGTTCCAGGATGACACGCTCAGGCAAAACGCCAAAGCACATAAAGTAAAAATAAATAAATCATAAAAAAGATTAGCCAGTTGGTGTGACCAGCAGACACAGAAGTGACTGTTCAGAATGAGGAAGTCATGTAATCCAGTCTCTCCCAGTCTCCCAGATTTAAACAACAGAAGGCCAGTCGGGCAAGGAGAGCCAGGAGACTAGAGGCTAGCACAAAGCACGTATATGAAGAGATGGACAGACAGCTTCTCTGGGAGACCCAGAGGCGACACTGATTGATAGTTTGGATGGGAGAAGCTCTTACAGAGCACAAACAGCTGTCCCGTGGTGGCCCAGAACATCTGCAGAGCCTTCTGATGTGTGTTCTACATGTTCAGGGGAAGCGTAACAGCTTTCTGATGTGGCAATGAAATGCTTCGCATCTGAGAGCAGGATGCAGGCAGGCTCCGTGCTTATTCCCTGTAAAGCAGCTGTGTTCTCCCTTGACCATGCATCCTCCACCAGGCGTCTCTAAAACTGGGCTCCTCCCAACCCTCTGTACTGATTGTTCATATAAATGCCACCGTCAGCACTCAGGGGGCTGAGGCAGGAGGATCCTGAGTTCAGAGCCAACCCCACGTGACATGCTGAGAACGTGTTTCAAAATAAACAAACCTCGAAGACTTTAGGGGTGCATATGTTTAAGATTTCTAGACAGGAGTCATTGTCTGTGCACAGCCCACACCTGCTTTATTGTTGCTGTTTTTTTTTTTATAATCTTATTTCTCTCAAGATCTTCTTACCAAATTTCTATGGGTGTTTATATGTTTTTATGAAAATAAAAACAACACCAGTATTTTAACGTTTGGCTAAGCAATGAAAATATTCTTCTATGTGGTTTTTTTCCCCTCTCAGCTTATACGTTTCATTTTTTAAAACTTCTATTATAGATTGACAAAAACAATCATATATGGTTATGGGTGATGAGGTGAAACTGTGATTCACGAATGTAATTGGTCAAGATAACTGACACATACATCTATCTCTCAAATATCTGCCAGTCTTTGCAGTTATTCTCTTAACAATCATAAAATGCACAATACTGTGTTATTAACCATACTTGCCACTCTGGAGTGGATTTTCCCAAGATAGGGGCTCGTGTTGTCTAGTCTGGCCTCTAGCTCTCTGTGCAGCTGAGGAGAGCTTGAGCTGCTTCCAGATTCTCCTGCTTCCGTCTCCCTAGTGCTGGGATTACAGGAGTGGAACACTCTACCTGGCTTGGAGGTTCTGGGGTTCAAAGTCAAGGTCTCCTGTGTGTTAGAAAGGCACTGTACTGACTGGGCTGCATTCGCCAGACCTGGACAATTACTCATGTGAATTTTCGGGTAACAGTATAAATGGCAGATGACAATTTCATTTCAGTACAGGTATTCATATGTTTATAACATGGTAAATAATAAGGGCCTGAATTTACGATTTAAGCTGGAAGTCAATCTATTTATATATTTATATATATATATATATATCTATTTATATATTTCAGTCAATCTATTTATATAACTATATAGTTCCAACGTTAAAGTGTTAGGAGCTGACTTTTCAAACATGAAATAGAGTTTCAGATAGCCCAGGACCTGGACTTTGGGGAATGGAGTGCTTGGGCGCTGTGTGCCTTCAGTCTGTACGGCTGCTCCTGTTGTCTGGGAACACAGAGATGCTAAAGTAAGACGGGGCTAGCAGCTACTGGGACCACTCACTCTGCAGCAGCCCTTTCTCTGCCAGCTGCTACAAAAGAAAGCAGCACCCTGTGACTGTGGCTGTGACTCTCACCTCCCCAAAGGCTGTTCCCAAGCACCCTAAACAAGAGGCTCTACAGACGGCACTTCCTGTATAATGAACAAGCCTCGCTTAGCTAAAGGGACAAACCGTTAGCCCTGTCCTGCCACCCAGGAATCCGGTATAACCTGCCTGTAAGCATGTAGATAGGCTACTCATCAACTACAGGGCATGGCACCTCCTCATCCCACTCTCTCTGTGTAGATCAAGAACCCCACCAGGGGTTCTGAAAGCCTGCATACCCACCTTTGCTTGCTTGCTCAGGCGAGCCACCTCCCCCTTCAGGCTGTCAGAGGTGAGACGCCCCTCCTCCAGCTGACGATGGAGCTGAGTCCTCTCGTCCTTGAGGGCTTTAATTTCCTCTCTCAGCGACTCTATCTGCTTCTCATAGGCTTCCGTTTTCAGCTCGAAACTCTTTTCAAGAAGTCTAGACAGCAAAAGAAGAGAAGAAAAACTAGCTTAGAGTCGTTTTTATAGTCTCTGAACAAGACAATATGCAAGGTTCTGGAAATATTGAGGAGTCTCCTCTCTGCCAAAGAAGGAGATGGGTTAGTCAGGACCCACTGTAGCCATCACAGTAGCCAATGGCTCTATTTTTAGCTGTTTCCTGTTCTCTTAGTCTAAAACTAATGCCTTACACCTTCTGGTGTGAGGGATTCTGTTAGTATCACAGAGAGCCCAGGACAGAGAGTGTGGACTTCAGATCACACTAGGTGCAGGGACTCTCAAAGCCATACCTCAAAGCCATGCCTGGGTCCCCTGGGTGGGATCCATGTCCCTTAGCAAAGACCTAGCATAGGCCCTTCCAAGTTCCCAGGACCCCTCAGTGGTCTGATTTAGTTCTCAACAGATACAAGCCGAGCATCCCAGATTCCCAAAACTCAATCAGAAATGCTAAAATTCAAAACTACGCCACGGTGGGATAATGGAAAAATTGCCATCTTTGAAACATTTGGGACTTGGGACTGTGGGAGGAGGGGTGCTCTCTTAGTGAAGACTATGCCAAGTCTCTAAAACATGGAGAACTGTGGAAACAAAACCCTTCTGGCTCCAGGCTTCTCAGGTGAGGGACACGAGCAGCAGAGCCCTCTCTGTGCCCAGGGGTTTCACCTTCCAGGAAACGAAAAATGGCGTGTGTGTGTGTGTGTGTGTGTGTGTGTGTGTGTGTGTGTGTGTGAAAGCAAGCATCTGTATGTCTATGAATGTATGCACATACATGTACCCTGATGTTTGCATCTTTGCACATGGAGGCCAGAAGAGGTGGAGTTGCAAGTGTCTTGGGTCACCCGGCTTACATGAGTACTGGGATTCAAACTCTGGTCGTGCAGAATCTGCTCCTAATCATTCAGCTATCTCTCCATGCCTGTTTTAATAATTTCAGAAAGTATCTCAGCAAAGCCAGGTGCCCCGTTGTGCCTGGAAACTCAATTCCTTTTGAAAAGACCACTGAGTTGAACAGGTGAACAACTATAAAGAGACACATGACATAGACCAGCTCTGGGTCTTCTGTAGGGTCCAGTCAGAACTGAGGCAGCCTCGGGGGCTCTGTGGGCTTCCTGCAGCCTCACACCTCTGGGATGCGGGCCCAGAGATCACACCCAAAGCCTCACACTGCTGGCATGCCAACTTAGAGTCCTGATTGATCCGCTTTAACAGCCCTAAGGAAGAAACTCTGAGGAGGAGAAACATGCCCCACAAATAAACCTTTAAACTTTGTAACTCAACCCCCAAAACCACTTCAGTATTCTCAAGATGCCAGTAAAAAAAATAAAACAAAGCCTGGAGTCTGAGGCATAAAAAACCTCAGACCTAGAGCCTGGACCTGTCAGGTCTACCAGTGGTTTGAGCCTCTGAGGACCGTGACAGGAGCCTAGCACACACAGGGAGATCACCAGGGGCCAAATGGAGCTGCAAAGAGGGCCAAGGCAGACAGTTTTGCTCGTTTCACGGCCTCCAGAGCCTCACCCAGACAGGACAGCAGGGAGCTCAGGGCGACCTGTGCGGCTGGCTCTTCAGCCTTTGGAAGTCCTCTTACTCACCGCCCTAGCCAGACCACGGTTTTCCTGCCAACTGCATGGGGAAGCGGTTGGTACCTCAGCATTCCAGGCTGCCCTGAGAGTCTGTCTCCCTCGCATCACTCCACCAAGCTCCTCACCCAGATCTATAAACCATGGACTCCTTCTGAGAAAGGGAACCCAGACTGGAATCTCTGGGAATTAGCAGATGGTCTATGATTGAGATAGGAAGGGGAAATGTCCAGCCCCAGGCCATGGGACCCGTGAGGGTCATCGTCAGGCTCACTGTGGACCCATACCCTACGTGCCAGGGTCCAGATTAGGGCGGCTGCAAGCTGAACCGAAAACAGCAGAGAGTAGGTGGGGTGCGGCACTGTTGGTGTGGACCTTGCCTGGTAAGCCCGAGGCCTAGGCCCCATTTCTGGCGTTAACCTAGCAGTGAACCACCCATAACCCCGAACTGGTGGCGGGGGGAATCAGAGGTTTAAGGTCATCCTCTGCCATGCAGGAGGTTCAAGGCCAGCTAGTGAGGTCTGAGGCCATATCTGAAAGAAAAGGAAAGAAGGGAGGCGAGAAAAGGGAGGGGGAGAAAAGAAGGGAAGGAATAGCCAGGCAAGGGAGATGGCGACCCTTACAGTCTCTGCTGTTCCTCTTTCTGCACGTCCTCGAACAGCTGCCGAGTGAGCTTGTCCATTTTTTCTGTGGACAGAGAGCAGTCTTTGAAACGAGTCTGCGGAGACAAGGTCTTCACCGCCTCACGCCTCAGAGTCACCGCAGAGGGTTTGTTACTGCTGAGGCCCATGGTGAGGAGGGCATACGTGAGTCTCCATAAACTGGGCATGTGGGTGCGGGGGCCTCAACAAAACAGCGCCATTACCAGCACCCAGCCACACGTGCGCTGGCACCAATCAGGCTAATGTCCAGCTACGCTCCTGAGAACTGTGGGAGACTTAAGGTGGAGAGGTTGGAAAGCCCTCAAGGCAAGCGCTCAGGGCTAGTGTGTTAAGACCCATGCAGGGCTCAGGCTCCAGCTCGCTCCCCACTGACTCAGCGGGCGCCAGGGCCTGGGCCTCAGTGAGCGTGTGTCATCCTAAGGCTGCCCACTCCTAATCTCCTCCCCACATTGTGGTGCTCCTCCTCTCCACAGGCCTGGCGTCCCATTAGTCCACACGCTGGCAAAGCACATGCGAAGTCCCCCGGGGCCATTCACAAGGTTCTTACACGCTTACATACACTCATATTCACAGACACTCCTAAACACACACTCATACACAGGTCGCCACATACTCACACACTCATGAAGGCTCATGAACATTCTTGCACACTCACACTCCTATACTCACAAACACTCTCAAACATACACTCACACATTCACGACTACTTGAAAACACTCATCCACCCCCAAATTACACACTCATACTTGCACACGGCCACACTCTTACCTCAGGTGCCCCCACACTCACATTCGCACACTATTGCACACTCTTTACACAGGTTCACCCTCCCCTACACTCATTCACAAGTACATATTCTTTTTGTTTTGTATTTTCAAGACAGGGTTTCTCTGTGTCTCTCTGTGTCTCACTCTGTAGACCAGGCTGGCCTTGAACTCACAGCGATCTGCCTGTCTCTGCCTCCCTAGTGCAGGGATTCCAGGCGTGCGCCACCACCACCCGGCTAACTACATACTCTTAAACACACTTATACCCCACACACTTACACACTCATGAACACCCTAAACTCTTGCACATGTACTCTCTCAACACCTATGGCACCCATGCCCTTTGCACACTAATATACTCACACCCACTCACCCACTCTTACACACTTACACTCACACACAAACTCTCACACATACTCTTGCGCATACAGTTCCATGGACAATCATACACACTCAAACTCTCACACCGCCCCCACCACGAACAACACCGTACAGACGTACATACAATATGCCACACACACACTCATACTCTCTTTCTTCGGTCTGGCTGCTGCTTCTGAGGCACAGACAGGGGGATAGGAGCGCCTTTTCCACACGCCCACATGCACTTACGCCCTTGGTGTGTGAGGCGGGCAAGCCCAAGCTGGAGGCCCGGTTGCACCCGCACCAACAGCTACCTTTCAGCTCGTCGGTCTTGTCTTGCAGCATCTGCTCTGCCTGCTCCCTCTGTGACTGCAGCTCTGCATTGTGTTTCTGCAGCCTGGACAGCTTCTGTGGAAGGGGAGGGACACGGGGACACCCTGGTGAAGTCCCCGCCACGGCCCCGTGAGGAGCCCTGTGCCGAAGTCTTCAGTCTCTCTCTCTCTCTCACACACACACATACACACACACTTGGCCCAGGCACAGGGTCAGGGGCCCCAGGGGACGTGGAGGCAGACCAGTCCCCACCTCCCTGGCCACGCTGACAGCTGACACCCGGAATGTCTCAGGCCTCTCCCGAGCTCCGGGTACCCAGGGCAGGTTACTAATTAACCTCTTAGCTCACAACACACATGAATTCATGTTTGAACACCTCTGTGGCTTCTCCTGATGAGAGGCCTGCGGGGGCTGAAGTGTGGACCTCATGGTGGTGATGGCCATGACTGGCAGAGCCATCGAGGGCTGGGCAATGTGGGCGCCCCCAGGCACCGGGTCACACACTCTGGGGCTCACGGCTGCTAGTGTGCGAGCCTCAAGCCTTTGGAAGGCACAGGGGAACAGACGGTGGTGAAAGAAACTCAGTTAGGAAATGCTGGAACGCTCCTGCTCATGCCTGGGTGTGGCAAGAACACTTAGATCTTTTTGTCCAGAGGGTCAGTGATTTGGCCAAACTGCACAGCTAGCCAGCAGCAAGGTCACTTATAAATCGAGGATGTTGGGATTTCTCACTAGACCACATAGGTCCTGTGTCACAGGTCAGGGAAAGGAGGCCTTCAGAGCCCACAAGGGTGGACAAGTGACAGAGGAAAGAGGGGACACGGCCAGCAGCGCTCCTTGGGCCTGTGACAGCTTGGTTCCCTTGTCGGGGCTGCGAAGCCCTGCCTCAATTCCCAGGCAGAGAACGGAAGGTGCACACTCCTGCCATGTGGTACGCTCCTGACCTCTTCCACGGAGTCCCGGTATCTCCTGCCCTTCTCTTCATAGTTGTGTCGGTGGGTGGCTGCTCTCTCCAGCTCTGCCTCCAGCTTCTGGACCTTTTCCAGGTCACCAGCCCGCAGGGAGGCCAGGCTGGTTAGCTTTTCCACCAGCCCGTGGTTCTCTCTGTTCTAGAGAAAGACCCGGGGGTCAGAGGTCTGTTTCAGAGCGAAGCAGCTGGTGCATTGTGCCTCACTCTGCAGGGTGGCGGTCGCCTTTACCCCTAGTGACTTTTATTGGCATCTCCCCGGGGAATTGAGCGAGGCAGACTCTTTCTCAGCTGGCGTCTCTTATCGGGTGTGACCTGTCTGCTCCCGGGACTCCACAACAACTTTAATGCTAGAATGTGCTTCCCTCAAAAATCAGATGCTGCACCTTCATCCATGGACCTAGGGTATGACGACTTGAAGAAGAGGAAGAAGAAGAAAAAGAAGAGGAAGAGGAAGAAGAAGAGGAGGAGGAAGAAGAAGAAAAAGAAGAAGAGGAGGAGGAAGAAGAAGAGGAGGAGGAAGAAGAAGAAAAAAAAGAAGAGGAGGAGGAAGAAGAGGCTGAAGAAGAAGAGGAGGAGGAAGAGGAAGAGGCTGAAGAAGAAGAGGAGGAGGAAGAAGAAGAAGAAAAAGAAGAAGAGGCTGAAGAAGAAGAGGAAGAGGAAGAAGAAGAGGCTGAAGAAGAAGAGGAGGTAGAGGAGGAAGAGGGAACTTGGGTATCCCTGGAGGCCATGGGGTGGACCTCAGCAACACGGGTGGCTAGTGCACTCAGCGAGAGACTCTCGGAAGGCGGGCAAAGAGGGCTGCCTCGAAAATGCTTGCCTCCAAAGCCAAAGTGCTACAGTTTGGGTTCCCAGAATCCACACGCTGCCAGGTGGGCATGGGATTCCTGGAGTAAGCTGGCTAGGATGAGCTGCTGACTGTATAGATGAGCTCTGAGTCTGACTGACAGTCCTTGCTTCCAAGGCATAAGGTAGAGAGTAACCAAACCTGCACACGTGTGTGTGTACTTACACACATGTGCACCTCACACATATGAACACGCACACACAGATTGGTACCGATGCCCACCTGGTCCTCCAGCTTCTTCTGCAGGCGCTGGACCCTGTATGTCAGCTGAATGTTGAGCACGAACCGGCGGATGTTCTGGAATCTGCGCCGGGCCAGCCACGCCCTTGCGTACTTCTGAAGGATCACTGCCTTGTGCTCCTGCAGCAACTGGGGAAGGAGCTCGGTGAGGTGCCAGCCAGACCCCCTGTCTCTCTCTCTCTCTCTCTCTCTCTTCACCACCGGAGCACTCCCACGGTGCAGGACGGGAGTCTCCCATCACTGACCCGCTGAGCCCTTCAGACTTCTAGAGCAACCAACCACCTGAGGGCACACCTCTCTCACCAGAGCCCCTGCCTCGAGGAAGGCACAGTGAGGAAGTGCAGCCTGGGCCCACTCCATACCTTCCGGTACCGCCTCCTGGCCAGGAAGCCCCTAGTGTGGGCCTGGATGGTGATGGTGGCCACCCGGATCAGCTGGTACAGGTTACGGACCAGGTACCTGCGGCAATGCTTCTGCAGGACGATGGCAGCCCAGGCCTCCTTCAAGGCGGTGGCAGTGATGGCTTTCCTTGGGTGGAGAGATGGCAGTGTGAACGGGGGCCGGTGCCTCAGCCTTCACCGTAAACCACAAGTACCAGCAGCCCTTTCGGTGAGTGGAGGTTCTCAGGCCAAGAGCTGTAAGACATCTCTACCATTACGTGGTTGTGGTTCTTCATCCGGATGCGACCTCAGGCCTGTCTGTGCTTACCCTGACCTCAGTGTGGGCCACTCTTGGCACCGAGGAGCCATGTGGGACCCCCACCCAGTGTCTGCTGGAGCCAGTAAGTCCACGGGTGCACACGTGTGCACGGGAGCACAGCACACGTCTTCAGAGACTGTGGTGAGGAGGCGGTGCCTTGGACGCCCACTTGCTCCTCTCTGGAGAGGCGGCGGGTTGGAAACCACAGGGGTGCAGTTGGCAGACTATGGTCCGGGGGACAGATCTGCTGTCGCCGAGACCGTCAGGCCTCGTGGCAACACACCTGCGTCTGCTCTCCATGCACTGCCGACGGCAGCTGCTGTGGCTGGAGCTGACGTTCGGTGGGTCCCCTAAGAGCTCACCTGATGGACACCCGACCCTGGTTGTTTTGTGATGGAAGGCGTGGCCTGGTGGGGGGGGGGTAGGTCACTGGAGACGTGGCCTCTGAATAGCGCAATATGAGTCAGAGCCAAGGGGAGTGCGTTTTATCCTTTTTTATTATTTTAAAATTTATTTTGTTTCCACCTGTACGTGTGAGACTGTGGCCCATTCGCACAGGTGTGTGCCCGTGTGCACACGGAAGCCAGAGGAGAGCATCAAGTTCCGTCTCGCACTCTCTGCCTTAGTCCGCTGAGATACGGTCTCTTTTGAACCGGAAGCCGGGCTGGTGGCCAGCAAGCCCCAGCTGCTTCCCTGCTATCTCCCTGGTTGTAGGCATGTGTGGGCAAGCCCAGCTGTTTGTATGTGGTGCTTGGATACAAACATTCTCCCTGCCAGCATTCTCCCCTACAGAGCCATCTCCAACCCTTATTTATTTGCTTATTTAGGGTCTTGCTCTGAAGTCTTGACTGGCCTGGTACTCATTATACAGCCCAGACTGCCTTCAAACCCACAGCGTTTTCCTTTCTCAGTCTCCTGAGTGCTGAGATACACCAGCACAGGACATACCACCACAGAGAGGAAACCCCGTGAACTTGGTCCTGATTCTCTAAGTCACATTGTGCCACAGCCATAGAGAACATGACCAGAGGCCAAAACAATTCATACTCAAAACTGTGATCTGAACAAACCTCTTTTCTTTCATAAAGTATCAAGCCTCAGGCCCTTTGCCACAGCAACAGAAAACGAGAGAGTGTATCTGCTTTCCAGCTATAACGGCCAAAGTTGCATCAGAAGTCATGAACTGTTACGACCTCAAATAGTTATTCCCTGGCTCCGTTCAGAAAAACTGGTAAACATCTGCCTAAATTATTATGGGAGATAACTGTAGGCTCTTCCCTTCGGAATGCATAAGCCCATGGGGGAGGTAGATTTATGAATGGCCAAGAAATATAAGTAAAATAACTATGAAACAATCTCTATATTGTAGAAAAAAAGAAGTCATCCTTCCTGGGAAGAGCTGCCACACAGGACAGGCCCTTGTCATATCCAGGTTGATCAACACTGGTGGGGACCCCTGACCCACACCTGTGTCTGTGGAGCAACAGAAAGGCCCTTGTCCTCAGCTGGCCCTCCTCCTGAGTCCGGCAACAGTCAAAGCCCTGTCATCTTGCTGCTCTCCACAGGTCCAGCAAACCCTACTGGGTTTTGACCTGGGAAGTAATCTGTACGACCCCGGTGCCACCTCCCTCATGCACTCACCTCACTGTTTGCTGACCCCGGAAGTACCGCTGGATCGTCAGGGCGGCTTGTCTCTCTCGGAGGAACTTCCTCCTCTGCAGCCAGCCCCGCACATGCTTTTGAATCATAATGCAGTCCTGCCTCAGTTTATCCAAGCGGAGTTTCTCTAAATAAGCCACTTGTCCTGCTCTGAAGAAAATTTTGGTTCTACCAAACTGGTACTGGTTGGAATCCTGGAAGAGAAGAAAGATAGGACATAGAAATGAAGCCCTTTTTTAGGTGTGAGTCAAAAGATTCTCGAGCCATCGGCATTTCTGTGGCACAAGGCAGAAAAACCAGAACTACAGTCTAGAAACTTCTACTTCAAGGTGCGTACTGTTCTCCATCTTGGTTTCGGGTTTGCGTCCCTGTCCCATTTCCTGGCCATCACGACTTGATGTCTTGGCATCCCTATCTCATTTCCTTGGCTGTCATAGCCTGCCATCTCTTTTTCCATCCCAACTCATCACTTCGGCAACAATCTCAATCCCTGATGACCACATGACCACTTTGCTGGGTTACCACCTCATCTGACCATGTCCTGTGACCCACCATGGAGGATGGCACTGGACCATGGGAGAACAAGGCAGAGGGTTGGCTGTGGAATCCAGGGTTTGGAGCCTTCCTGGAGATGCCTGCTGTTAAGAGATCTTGCCATGGGGGGTGAGGTGGGGCCATGACTGCTGGGTCTCACTAGCACATGTAGCGACATGGTTGGGAGGCACGCTGCAGGAAAGAGCCCCCTGAGACTCCAGCAAGACCAACCTGGATAAGCCTGTGCAAAGCCACCTTGCACACCTCCTTCTTATCGCTGAGGGACAGCTCCTGCTGGCTCATAAGGATGCCATAGCGACTGTAGAACTCGAGGTACGTCCACCTGCAAAATCAGAGAGAACGGGGCGGGTATTTGCAGGAGGCTCTTCATGCAGTGGGCTGGGCTACCCCCGCACCCCAACTCTCGCTGGGGAAATGGCGGAGCCTGCTCTGATGATCGTCCCTGCGTCTCGGCCAAGGCCATGCAGCCCGTGCACCTGCTCAGTGAACTGATTTGACCAATCCCACATCCCTCTGAGCCTCCTCAGCTCCTGTCCTGACAAGGCAGCTGGGATCAGTGCCTGGAGGGCTGGTGGCTTCTGAGATAGCACGACACCTATGCCACAGTTTGGACAGTATGTGTTTCCCAAAGGCTCAGACGTGGAAGGCTAGGTCCTCGGTGCAATGTTCGGAGGTGAGACTCTCGGAAGAGACTGAATCCTGAGGGTTCTGGCCTAATTAATGGATTACCCATGGATGGAGTCTGGATGTGACGCTCTGGGGAGTATGGAAACCAGGAAGGGGATGGGGCTGAGTTGGAGGAAGTGCCTCACTGTGGACACAGCTTTGACCTTGGCCCCTTCTTGTCCCTCTGTCTGCCTCCTGCCCACAGTGAGGTGAGCCACTGTGCTCCACACGTACGTGCCCCTTGCTGTGACCCTGCGCCCAGAAACAATGTAGCCAAATGTCCATTGGCTTCAAAGCCTAAGCCAAAATAAGCACGACTCCTTTGTCTCCTTTGTTGGGTATTTTGTCATCTTGAGGAAAGACAGGTATTTCTCACCTTTATCCTTCCTCCAGGATAAAGCACCTTACAAAACGCAAAGCATACAATATATATATTGCCACCACACCCTCTGTTCTCAATAAACACTTGAATGAGCACTGACAACTGTTAGGTCCAACATGGACCCCCCCCACCCCCAAATGGCAGTGCCACTGTGCTATGAGAGCCTGGCCTCAACTCAGGCTGGACTCTGGGGAAACAGAAGGACAGCTATTGGGTGAACAAAAACCAGAGTCGGTGTTTCTCAGAAATCTTGTGAAGCAGGTTTCTGCTTGTCAAGAAGAGCATTAATTTTCCTGTCCGCCCCTATAGTCAACCACCTCCCGCAGAGGGCATCTAGTTCCCTTTAACCCAAACATGTCTGCAACAGAGAAAAGTTCCTATGCAAGCTGCTCGGTCAACACTCCGCCTCACAGGTGTCCACGGTCCTGTTATTCTACACACACACACACACACACACACACACACACACACACACACACACACGCCACACCAGTTTGATTCCCCCTGAATAAACTTTCTCCCAATGGTGTGGCCCCATTAGGTGGCTTCACTGTGCCCTCACTCCCAACAACCTACCTGGACGGGTAGCTCTGGGCGCTGATGCGAATGGTTTCTAAAACGCCGCAGGCTCGCAGCTGCTGGACGATCCGTTTGGAGTCAAACCTTGAAGCAATTTTTACAACGTGTTAAGGCCTTTATAGCTACCGAAGGACCCCAGAACACGTGCTGCAGGAAAGCCTGGACTCCAGGCTCCTGGGCAGCAGGATTCCGCCCCGTTCCGTCACCCCCAAAACACATACAGAGTGCCAGGCACACCTGCAGATCTGCAGAAATATCTAGAAAATGTTCTGCAACAGCCTCTCTGCGGAGCAGTCTAGGATCTGGGGTGTATGTAGGTGCGGGAGGGAGCTCTGACTGAAGGTCACTGTGTGGGGGAAAGTACCTGGATTGAACTTCCAGTGACAACCAGGTAAAAAGAGACGGGTGGGTGCATTCCCGCACCCGTTCAACAGAGAAACGTCCTTTGCAAAGCACCATACAGTGGCTAACATTGCTGGTAGCCCACAGACGTACATGCCCCCTTATACACGCAGAGAGGCTGGGTCCTGGGTGCCTGCCCTGCACTTGCAGACAAGTATTCAAGCTTAGCCCTTTGCTCAGCCCTGGAGCTGAAGTAGTTTAACCACAGAAGTGGTGCTAATGTACACTGCTTGACTCGTTAAAGAACCCAGAAACAGAGGAAGGCTCAAGGAAAAAAATCTCAACAAACTTCAAAATCATGACAATTTGAATGAGAAAAAGCCTCCCACAGGCTCAGGTATTTTGCCCTTTGTTTTTGGTTTTCAGTTTGTCTGTTTTAAGACAGGGTTTCTCTGTGTAGCCCTGTCTGTCCTGGAACTCGCTCTGTGGACCAGGCTGGCCTTGAATGCAGAGATCCATCTGCCTCTGCCTCCCGAGTACTGGGATCAAGCGCATGTGCCACCACTGGCAGACGTGACTTGGTCCCCAGTTATAACCTGTTTGGGACGGCTATGGCACCTCTAGGCCTTGCTGCAGGAGCACATGGTGTGGGGGTGGGGTGGGGTAGGGGGTGCTTTGCAAGTTTCTAGCCTTGGCCTATTTCCATTTCCAATTCGTTCTCTCTGCGTCCTGCATGTGCACGGAGGCATGAGCTCTCAGCTTCTTGCTCTGGCTGCCTGCTGCTGTGCCCCCCCCCCCCCATCATTAGAGAGTCTCCCTCTGGAGCCATTAGCCCAAATGAAATCTTTTCTTCCTTAGGCTGCCTTTGGTCCCGGCAGGATGTCGCTTTTGCAGGACTTTTCCTTTCCGTGACAAGAATACTTACTCAAAGGGCAGTTTCTCATCATTAGGCTTGATGCACCGAACGTAGTGGGGCGTGGTGGCGTTGAGGGTTTCCATGAGCAAGCACAGAGAGCTGCGGAACTGGGAAGCAGGGCCAGAGGTCAGGGGTTGCTCTAATGTGACTTAAAGCTGAACAGTAAGAAGAGGTAACGTGGGTCCAGAGAGACTTAGGGCTCTTCGAGGGGACCTCAGTTTTGGTCCCAGCACAGATACACATAATTTTATCTCCATGGGATCCAACACCCTTTTCTGGCCTCTGTGGGTACCTGTGTCTACCCTACCCCGACACACAAGCCTGTACATATACAGGAACGTTTTTCAAAGTCCTTCGAAAGAAGAGGTAATGTCTCGCAAGCATCTGTTAGGGCAGGCTTTACACTATGAGTGTGGTTTACAGGTGACTTCGTACACGTGGGGAGGGGACACGGGGAGGCGCTGAATTGAAGTTAGGAGTGTAATAGATGGCTTGGAAAGAGGCCTGTTCTCTGCAGCCAGGCTGGGGCTGTGGGTCCCATGGCTGTCGGGCTCCCCCAGAGCCTGGCCCTCCTGGCGACCATCTCCCACCTCACTCCCGTGTACCTTGTTCCCAACTGTGGTCCGGAAGTGCTTGCTGTTTGGCTTGATGACTTGCTTCGCGGATTTGAGCGTGATCATCGCGCCAAAGGGAGAAGACGGGACAGGGCTTTCTTGAAAAAAGGCGGCACAGAGATGAAACTGGAAGGGAACCGAGAGGGGTTTAATGTCCCCGAGTGTTGACGGGTGGTCGCCGGCACAGACCAAATATACAATCACAACAGCTGTCTAAATGGGAGGGTCCAGGGTGACAGCCTCAGCCACCTCTATAGCCAGAACCGCATTGTATAGGAGAGCCTCGTGGGTGGTGCTGCCCAGGGCTTCCTTCCTGGGACAGGGGGGCGAGGACAGCTGTGCAGGTGTCCCCACGCCTGGCATGCACTGCTCCTTCTGGCAGAAGAGACCTCTGCCGCCCCCTGGCTCAACTAGACTCTCTTCTTGGCCCACGGACTCCTCCCTACAGATCCTGCTCACAAACCAAGGCCGGTACACTGTCTTCCAGCCACACCCTACTCACAGCGCTGGACAATATCCCTACACCCACGCGTCTGTGTGGACGTGCTCATGCATAGTGTCTATGTGTTCACATGTGTGAAAGTGCATGTACATATGCCCCGGCCTCCCTGAGTGCTGAGATTAAAGGCGTGCACCGCCACCACCGCCTGGCTTGTGGCTGGCTTTTTTACATGGGTCTGGAACTCAGGCTCTCATTATTGTACAGCAAGCACTTACTGACTGAGCTAGCTCCTCAGAACGCCCCCCCCCCGACATTTTGGGGGGGCAGTTTCTCACTCCGTAGCCCAGGCTGACCTGGACCTTGTTATCAACATATAGCCCAGGCTGGTCCTGCCTCTCTTCTATCATCTTTATTTGCTCCTCTCCTGAGGGAGCCATATTCTGCTATGTACCAGTTGCGTCAAGTGTCTGTCTTCTGTCACCATCCATTCTTTGAAAGTGGATAATGGCCTCCAAAGCAGGACCCTGTGCACCCTCCTGTGTTCCTCTGGTCAGTGACTACATCTGGAGTTCCCGCCTGTTAGCTCAGGAGACAGACCCAGTCCTGCTTCCATAAGACATCTTTAAGACAGGACCCTGGGATAAGCGTGGGGCTGAGCAAATAACCGGGAAAATGAAGTTAGCTAATAGTGTCACAAGATGCGACTGCGTCTCAACGCTGAATGCCCTTCTGCAAGCCACTTTGGTGAGTGTGGTTGTTTACATGTGGCATTTGTTGATGCTCATCCATGCCTGGGCTCCTCTAGGAAACTGTCTGGAGACCTGAGCATTTGAAATAGTGGACTGGGTCTTCTAAAAAGGGGAAATAAACGTAGACCCAATGATTGTAAAATGAAGCCCCGTCTATGAAATGCCCTCTTCTCAAAGTTTTACACGGAAGAGTTTCAAGTGGGAAAGAAGTGGCTGCAAGTCGGTCATTTGGCGACAGTGTTCGCCTCACAGGGCAGTAGATTCTGGAACCTGCTGCCTGAGGCCATGCTTCCTTCTGCCGTCCTCACGCTTTCTTCGGTTTTCTTTCTTTTTTTTTGTGTGTGTGTGCAAGCGAGTGCATGCATGCGTGTGTTGATGTTGGGTGTGCTCTTCAGACATTCTTCGCCTTGTACTTTTGAGGCGAGATTTCTCACTGGCACTTACCAACGTGGCCACTCTAGCTGGCCAGCAAGCTCTGGAGATCTGCCTGTCCCTGCTTCCCCAGCTCGGGGACTACGCATGCACAGCGCTGAGAGTGGGTGCTGATCAGACTTAAGTGCTCGTGTTTGTGAGGCAGCCGCTGTACTCACTGACACCTCTCCAGTGCCTTCGTTTTGGTTTTCTCTGAGTGCTGTGGGTACTCCCCACACTGCTTGTTCCTGTGTTAAGGGACATTGCTGGTGCCCCTGGGAAGATCTGTTCATCAGGCATGTTCCCTGCTGTGTCCCCAGAAGCCAGGATGGGGCCTGACCCACAGCTAGTGCCTCGTCCCCGTGTGTGAATGAAGCAGCCAAATGTGGACTGTCCTTTCCCAGCCAGCTGTGTTCAGCTGTCTGTCCTCTGTCGTCCTCCGGTCCGACCGCATTGCACGCAATTTACAGTGCTTTCAGCCCCGAAACAGACTTTACCTCCAGTCCTAACACAAATAAAAGGTGGTACGTGGACGCCCTGGAATTTTACTCAACTGTGGAAAAGAGTGAAGTGCAAAACAGCTGCACGCTGTTAGCACAATGAGCAGCAGCCCGTGCCCCGGGGACCCCGCCAACCTTGCTTGTCCTGAGGGTTTCAACCAGCGTGTCATAGACGGTGTCCCTGTTCTTCTCCAGGAACCCTTCGCACTGGTACTCCACCTGTGCAGAGAGAGGCTAGTTACCCCCCCGAGGCCAGGGCATGCAGCAGCAGGGGCAAGCTCATTTCTTCCCTTCCTTCTTTTTTTGTAGTACATGGGATCACACCCAGGGCTTCACATGCAGGCTCTATGTATTCCACCGCTGAGCTACACCGCCAGGCCCTCTTCCTTGTGTGTGTGTGTGTGTGTGTGTGTGTATTGTTAGGTCTCAGGCAATATGTGTATGCAGAAATGAACTCAGTTCTGACTATAGAAGGATTTCTGGTATTTAGATAGAAGCCAGCGTTCCTCAGGAACTTGTGAAACAGGTTCCTATCCCCTCAAAGGAGTCACTTCCCTTGCTTCTGGAAAAAGGGACACATACCCATGGCAGCTATCAAAGCTATCAAAGCTTACGCTAGCTTCTTCCCTCACTGTTAGCCCTGGCCACACCCAGTCTGCTTCTCTTACTCTTTGCTCTGGACTTTTCCAGATGCTTCTGGATCTTTTCCTCTGTTTTACCTATAATAAAACACCTTCCCCCAGGGGATTACAGACGTGTGTCACCATGCCTTGTTTGTTTGTGCGTTTGTTTTACAAAGGGACCTGGGGATTGAACTAGGGCCCTCTTGCATAAAGCAAGCACTTTAGTACTTTAGTTTTCTCCTTACTTCTCTTCAGTGGGACTTGAATCCAACCTCACCGGAGCAGTCTTGTCCTGGGGAGGCCACATTCACTTGCCTTGTCAGCAAAGTGCTGGATGATGAAGGACGTGTTTGACATTCTGGGCTTTTCGAATAAAGAGTTCTTGTTGACAAAATTGTTATACAGCTTTTGAAGCCAGTTTTCATCGTTTCCATGGGGCAACTGGAAGAAAAGGCAGAGAAAATCTCAAGTAAGGAAATGAGATGAAAGGTGAGTAGAGGGAGGAAGGGGCTAATTTTGGGGTTCTGGGGCCATCTACTGCCACAGGGAGCCACTCTAACTCAGAGGCTCCTTTTTCCTCTAGGCTTAGGGTTCACAACCTTTCAACACAGTTACTCATATGGTGACCCCAGCCACAAAATTATTTTTGTTGCTACTTCATAATTGCAATTTTGCTACTGTTATTAATTATAATGTAAATATTTGTGCTTTCCAGTGGTCTTGGGTGACTCTTGTGAAAGGGTCATTCAACTCCCCTCAAAAGAATCACGACCCACAGGTTGAGAACCACTGCTCCAAACAATTCTAAGCATTCACGTATTTTATCCTAATTAGTCTTTATAGATAAGCTATTTTTAAAATTATGGACAAATAATCATTATGGTAACATATGAAATATTTATCACAGTATTTAAATGGCTATACCAGAGTCCCTTTAGAAGACCAAAATATTCTAAAGGGAAGCGGCCATCTCATGACTTACGAATGAGGACCTGCATCAATGCAAAGTAGGCAGTATTTTATTCTTTGCCTCACAGAAGCCTCATAATTCAAGGAAAGAGAAATGGGATGGTAGCCTGACTCCATTCCCAGGGGGATGGGAAGGATAGGTGTGTGTCTTCCCTGCCCCCATCTCAGGGAAAACAGATTCCATTTGGTTTTTCTGCCTCCCAGAACCAAGACTGTACTTCCTCCAACTAAGCTTCTTGAAAAACCTGGCTTTTTTGTTTGGTTGTTTTTTTTTAAATGCTGACATTTAAACACTACTAGTTAAATTCAACCCAAGCAGAGTGAGTTCAATACTTCATCGTGCCTCAATGACTTCCATGTCACCTTAGGAAATACTTTAGTACTTACAAATACTTGAAGTCTGCCTTGGCCTCTACACTCCTGCCTCCAGAACATTCTAGAACACTGGCTTGATGCCTGCAAGAGCTAATGCATGGGCAGGCAGTGTTGGGAAATGTGATCAGGAAGAACCACGGAACCAAGAATTCCAGAAAGCAACTACCAAGATGTCCTCACTATTGGTATAAAAACAAGGACATGATTTTTTCCATGGCATGGCTGAGGGGAAGGTTTTTATTGTAGATATGAGGGAGAGCACAGCCAGAGGCATCTGGAAGGGTCCAGAGCAGGGAGAGAAGGTAGTGGATAGAGTATGGTCAGCAGGCTGGACCAGGCCATGAAAGGAGAGAGATGGGGGAGTGTGAGAGAGGACCAAGAGAGGGGAGTGCATAACTGAAATGCACCATGGGAATAAAAAGCTGGGAAAAGGGAAGCCCATGAGCTGCAGAAGTTTAGGGTAGGGGATGGCATGGGAGGAGCTGAGGGGAGCCACAGGCACTGAGTAAGCCTGGAAGCTTGCATGGGCTTTTGTACCTAACAGGCACCTCAGGTAGCCATTTGTCTTGTTTCTTTTGGACCTGACATACTGTATCATTATTTTTAAGCAAATAAATCTGGGGGGGGGGGGGGGGGAGAAATGGCTGCTCAAGTGTCAGAAGCTACTGTTTCAAGTCCATTCATACTCTCCTGGGGATTATTTGTTCTAGGGGCACACTGGCTCCTCCCAAGGGGCAAAAATAATAAGACAACTCCCGGAGGTTCTCTGGAATCAGATGGTGTTGGCTTTCCCCTCCCCCTCCTGGTGACTCACAAGAACCAGGAAGAAGGGAGCTGTCACATTGTTAGCAGTCAGTACCCAGCGGAGCCATTCACTGTACGCCCAGACATCTGTCTGCACGCTGGCCTCGGAGATCACCTCCTTGCTGGATGTCACCCTCTGGGTTGTGCCTGATAACCCGTTAGGTCTTAGCCTCAGGACGGATGGATAACTGAGGTGCCTATTAAAAAGTGGGCTCTTGCCACTAGTCTCCCACAGTCCCTACTAACTAGTACTTGCTACAGGGGCATCCTGGCTGGCATATCCTGCCCCATACCCTCAGCTTCTCCAGCTCCTGAGCATCACTGTCCTCCCCTCCACCCCTGGCTGTTCTTCCCTCTATAATCCATCCCTTTAGGCTACATGGCAGGTCAGTCTCTCTGGTCTTTGAGTCTTCTCCTGCTCCAACCTTCTTCTTTTTCTCTCCTGTCCTACCCCCAACTCCTCTTCCATGGCCCATTTCAGTAAGGACCCTTCCAGATGCCTCTGGCTGTTCTCTCCCTCAGGTCCACTGTTAAGTTTGAAACCACAGACAAATGGCTGAGGTGCCTATTTAACATGTCAAAGCAGACCTGGCAGCCAGGTTCTCCCAGCATCCTTCAGTCTCTCCTGCTACAGGGCCCTCCTGGCTGGCCCAGGGGCCAGGGAGCTCTTCTGTATATGATCTAGCCATTTTGGTAACCTGCTCTCTTCATACCTTTGTACATCCTGGCTGTTGTACCCGGTTCCCCTCTCTTCCCTTCTCCCTCCCCTTCTCTTCACATGGCCCAGATGAGGGTCATGTCCATTCTGGACTCTCCCAAGGGTCCCTGCCTCTGACTATGCTCTCCTACATATCTATAATAAACTTTCTCCTCCGCCATAAATAGGAGCACTCATGTTCCTTCTTCTCATTCTTTTTATTTTTTTTCCCCATTCATCCTCAATATACCTTCTTCTCCACCGTATCTAGGAGTGTCATGTCCTCATTTTTTTTTTTAATTTATACTCAAAAGTGGAGCATAATTGTGTTAAGGATAGGAGGGTCCCAAGCCCCTAGGGTTCCAGGGCTACATTAGTGTCTCAGAGGTAATATCCAACCAAATGGGTAAGACATTACAACTACATATATAGCTCCAAGAAAGACGTTCTACGGTATGTGCGTCTGCAGTTACTCAGATGCTGAAAGAGAAGCCGGTTATTCCGAAAGTTACCAAGCATTCTTCGTCCAGCAGCTCCAAGATGCCCATTTTCGCTTCAATCAGGTCAATAACTGGTTGATTGTCATAGAAGTCTATCAGAGTCCAAGGGATGTCTTCCTTCATGTATTCCTCTTGCTCAAGTTTAAAGACGTGCTGGGGGATCCCGGAGGTAAATCAGAAATGACACAACATCAAAGAGAGCGCAGGAATGACAGGACGCAAGCTCGGAAGGAGGTCTGCTCTGTGCTCAGAAAGAGCCCTGAACACTGGCTCGCCCCTTCCCAGGGACAGAGCCACCAAGCAGTCAGTCTCCCGTGGGTCTGGCTGACACCTTCTCCACTCCCCCCCATGTGCCAGGTCTGGGCCAGCCACGAGCGCAGCTCCTTGAGTCCCTTTTTTCAGTGGCTGTGGGCCACTGCTGCTCTCTGGGGACGAGAGTGTGGCCTCCTTAGCCCCTGCAGCAGCCCAGCCAGGGCAGGGCAGCCGCAGAGGATGCCGGCTATGAAGCCAGTGTGCAAAACCTATGCTAGCATTCAGGATGGCAAGGAGGCTCCCCCAGGGCCTGCTTCAGGCTCCTCCTGGAGGATGAAGGAAGCAGTGACAAGATGGGGAGGAAATCATCACCAGTTGGCTCAAAAGAGAAGACAAAGACAGGGGGTGCAGTTCCAAGACACAACCACAAAGTGGCACAGTAACTCAACGTATAGTTCTATCTAGCAAGAAAAACTCGTCTATCGGTCAATCCGTGCATCCTCGGATCTCTGCGGGAGGAGCCAGAAAAGGACTGTGCCTCATCCCACGATCATGCACACAGAGGAATGAGCGTCGGCCCCAGCAAGGCAAAGACTCACCTACCAGGTTAAACTGCTGCTGCAGCTTCTCGTTAGCGTAATTGATGCAGAACTGTTCAAAGCTGTTCACGTCAAAGGTCTCAAAACTGAAACACAGTTGAACGCAGTTAAAACGTAAGCAAGCACAGGACCGACGCCCCCAGTACAGCTAAGCCGTTTTCATAGCTTACAGGGCTTGCTACGCTTTCGGCAAGTTTAAACTACTTGGAAGCTGCCGGTTCCCATCACACTGGAGGTCAGTTGACAAACTTTCCTTTTTACCCCTGGTTGTCCCTTGGAAGGATTCTCACTGTATGGGATTGACCTTTCCCAAGCCGGGCGTTCCAGCAGACCTGTCACATGAGGCATATCACTTAATCCAAGCATCGCCGCTACTGTCCTTGCTCCACAGAATGCCAAATGGCTGGGGGACTATTAGCTCAGTGTCTCCGGGCTTAGCACTGAGGTAGTAACGCCTGAGCTTTTGGTGGGAGAACACTTCTCCCCCCTCCCGCTGCCCATCCGAAGGGCAGACAAGACAATTCTGGCTTCCTGAGGCTGGCTTTCAGAGTTTCTGGAACTGAACTCTGAGGTCACTTAATACCTCAGCCCAGCAGGCACACATCCCTGCCTTGTTTTCAGGCTTTAATAGCTGTTTCCAGGGTTACGTGCGACTTGTAAACTGGAGCTTGGGGCAGCCAGGCAAGAGGCATCAGTGGGGACTGGGTGGTCACTGCACAGCAGCGAGCCCCCTAGGGCCCGGGACAAACAAGATTGCCTTAAGGAACCACCTCACTTATTGCTAGCTGTGGCCATACATGAAGCGGGCCAGGATTTCACGTTAGCTGATTTTCCAAAGGAGGCAGCACTAAGTCCTTTTCCTGGCCAAGTGAGCACCCTGCTGGGAGGAGGCCTGAAGAGAAGTCCCTCTTTGCTCTAACTCTGCCTCAGGGTCAGAGTACAAAAGACCACGATGATACCCAAGAGACCGCAAATGGTGCCCAAAAGGCAGCTTGAGTCCCCATCCTCCACCCTCCTCCCCACGCCCAAGACTTTGTCCCTCATGGCTCTGGTCTTACAGGGTCATTGCCAACCCCCACCATAGGTTCCCAGACAGCACCAGGGTGACCGGAAGCTGGCTGTATGCACTCTTTGCACCTGCACCGTTTTCAGAGCACTTGAAGTGGGGGCTGGCTTGGACCTGGAGGGACCTCAGGCCAAGGCCAATAAGAGCAGGGCTTCCCACAGTAGGGCAAACTGTCAAATGATTCTTCTTAGGCACTGTGAGCTGAAGCTTCAACCCATGCTCCCGTGACTTAGGGTGCCACAAGTGTCCTGTCTGTGACAATGGTTAGCGCTGGGACCAGGGCTCAAAGTTCAAGATGCCTTGGTGACTTCTTCCACCTGACTGTCCTGGGAATCCTGGAGAAAAGGTCCTGCAGGTGGCTCTGAACATGTGCCAGAGGTCTAACCTCAGACCCTGGTCATAATATTAACACATAGACGTGTTTAACACACGGCAGCCCAGGGATCAAAGATCTTCCTTCCCTTTCCTTCTGGGTTGAACCTCAAAGCTGCAGTTTTTCTTGTGTTCAGGGAGGCTCACCTCTCCTGCCAGCCATTGTCATGTTCAGAGTAAGCAGAGCTCAGTTTCCCTCAGAAGCTACAGCACGTGTTAGGACCCTGATTAACCTAGAGGTCAGAGTCACCCTAGGCCACAAGATCTGCCACTCAGCAGGGAGCTGGCATCCTCTTCTGAACTTTATGGGCATCAGCGCTCACACATATACAAACCCACATGCAAATACACATATAAATATAGTTATAAAAATAAAATAAATATTAAAAAATATGAGGAAATATATTCCTAAAAGAGTCCATTCTTTTTAAAAGGCAAGTTCAAGAAAATACAACAGTCACTTCCTATCTTAATGTAAGATTTTTAAACCAGGCTACTAATTTTTTTCCAATTTAACTCAAAAACATTTTTTTTTTACTGGTTACTCAAATTATTTATTAGGATAAGGTAGGGTAAATAGGAGCTGGAGAGATGGCTCAGTGGTTAAGAGCACTGTCTGCTCTTCCTAGAGGTCCTGAGTTCAATTCCCAGCAACCACATGGTGGCTCACAACCATCTATAATGAGATCTGGCGCCCTCTTCTGGCATTGCAGGTGTACATGCAGATAGAGCACTCATATACCTAAATAAATAAATATTTTTAAAAAGATAGGGCGAATAATTTACTAGCCTTTCTCCGTAGTATATTAGTAGTTTCAAACTGTTGATATGTTTTAATTGCAAGCCATGAGTAGTCACTTAAGATCCGAATTAAACAGTAACTCCCTTTCTTATCTCCTTTTACCTGGAACAGGTAGTGGAACAGCTGGCTCTCTACCCGGGTGTAAAGTTAAAGGACAAAACGCTGCCCCTCTGCCCTCTGCTCTCTCTCTCTCTGTGTGGGCAGCAATAGGGGTGTGAAGGACCAGGCCCCTCCCTTTGTGTGGAGAAGAGTTCCCAGTTGGTGGAAACTACAAAGTCTTTCATGGGACAATCTTCCCAGTGCTCCACCGAGAAGCCAGGTGTAGTCCTGGGAGAGGGGCAGAAACGGGGGCATGAGAGGCCAGTTTCCAACAACCACAAAGCTTCCGCCTTGCCTTCTGTAAGCACCTTCAGCAGGAGCTGGACCCTGGACTCAGAAAAACAGGACAGGGATGAGACCAAACTCCAAAGTGGCCCAAGCATCCTGCTGTTTGAAGAAGGGGTGGAGCGGTTGAAGAGGGGGTGGGGCGATTGCAGAGGGGGTGGAGCAAATTGAAGAGGGGTGGGGCGATTGAAGAGGGGGGGGGTGGGTGGGGCGATTGAAGAAGGGGTGGGGCGAACCAGAACCCTTATCACCCAGGAAAGGACAGCAGTGTAGGTGTGAGGGGAAGGAGACAGCAGGTCAGACAGACTGAGAATGTCAGCCTGCTCTAAGTGGCACTTCCCCAGGGTGGTATGTATCCTCTGGGCTCTGCACCTCAGCGGCCTGCAGGAGAAGGCAGTGGACCCCCCCCCCCCCCCCCCAAAGGACCGGCTGTGAACAGCTTAGCTCTTCCAAGCCGTGGTTGTTACGTCTCTGCAGTGGCTTGAAGTGCAGGAAACCACTTATCACTGGACCTGTTGCACAGTGAGGTTTGCTGGCCATTATTCGCTTTGCACTTATTGTATGTTTGTGAGCACGTATGTGTATGTATGCGCTCATACCATGTACACACATGGTATTGCTGTCAGCCCAATTTTTTTTTTTTTTTTTTTTGTGAGACAGAGTCTTTAGTTGAACTTAGAGCCCATCAGTTCAGCTATGCTGGCCATCTTCTGCCTTCCCTGTGCCCTGCTGGGCCTGACTCTTACATAGGTGTTGGGATCCGAACCCATGTTTGTATATCAAGTGCTTTACCCACTGGAAAATCTGCCTAGCGCTTGTTTGTCATTTATTTAATGCACTCTAAAGAAAGGACACCATGACCTAGGACCTGTGCTTAACATCTCTACATATGATACAGAAAAAAAATATATATATATCTTCAAATCCTGCAAAACAAGCGGAAGGAAGCAACCTAAAAATAACAGGGCATTTGACGTTTAGATGAGGAAAGGCAGGCACACGGAAGAGAATCTTACCCATAAATGTCCAAAACACCAATAAAAGTGTGCTGCTTGCCTGAGAAGTGCAGGGCCTGGTTGATTCTCTCTACAATGAAGTCGAACAGGTGAGCATAGATCTTTTTGGCCAGCGCGTCCCTGGCATTGATGGCCTGGGGCCTGGTCATGGGCTTTACCACAGTCTCTGAGGTAGTTACAATCTTCCTGTTGCATAGCCACTGAGCCATTTTGCTAGTCTCCAGGCCCAAGAGCTCACAGAACACCTTCAGGTGATTGTCATCCTCCTTTAAAAAAAAAAAAACAAAACAACACAAACACACACAAGCCCCATCAGGGTCGCCCAGCCATCCCAAGTCAGTGCTGCCCGACCTGGCCAAGTCTGGGTAAGAGTGGAGAAGCTGTGTGAGATATCCAGGCCTTGCGGTTGGTGACGCTCTCCCCGCTGCACTGAGGTCTGCATCTGCAGACCTGGCTCTTCATGCTGGAGCCAGCCGGCAGGCTCCGCCCACACACACAGCTGTGGGCCCCCACCTCTGGGCCTCCTCCAGTCACACCCCGGTCGGTCGGCACAGAACTGCGCACCAACGCTGTCCCACCTAACGTGTCCAGGGTTCCCGGAAGGTGCGTAGGTGGCGTCACCAGACAGATTTGGCAGCTGACGCCGGGGCTGGTGGGGGACTCTCCTGAATACACAAAATGACGTTTCTCTCTTGAGTCGGGACGTGAGGGATGCCCCCAGTGGCCTGCAGATGCGGCGGGGGGCGGGGGGGAGGGATGGAATTGGCCTTAACGAGCACGTGCGGCCTCCATCTCTTGTCACTTCACCAGGGAGTGTGGTTCCATGTGACCAGACTCCACCCTTCCTCCCAAAGGAGGCAGCATCACCCAGCGACTGCCCTTTAAATGCTCAGAGAGTGGAGGTGAAAAGCTAAACCCAAGCCGCTCCTGTCTCCTCACCCACACCCTCCCGACTGCCATCACACCAGCACAACACTCCCTTCTGGCCTTGCCTGGCCTCCTCTCTAGGAAACCCCGGGAGTAAAAACATTCAGTTAGAAGGGCTGCTCTTCTGCTCTTCCACACAGGGGCAGCAGGCTGCCACTAAAGAGGAGCGCTTTACCCAAATTCAGTTTGTCCGGCATTCTAAGCTCCAGAGATAAACTAACGGTAGTCTGTACCAGAGCCAAAACCAATAATTAATGACAGGACTCATCTTTTGTAAAGTTTTAACTGGGGCTGGGGAGATGGCTCAGCAGGTAAGAGCACTGGCTGCTTTTCCAGAGGACCCAGGCCTGCATACCAAACCCACACAATAGCTCACAGCTGTCTGTAACTCTAGTCTCAGGGACCCAACACTCTCTACTATCCTCCCGGGAGGAGCAGGCACACACGGCTGTACAGGCATCTATGCAGGCAAAGCACTCATGCACATAAAATAAAAATACATTTAAAAATTTAAGAGACTTAGGATTATTCCCTCTCTAGGACACTGCCTCCATGGCAAAGCCGGTGTGACAGAGCGTGACCGTGTTTGTTGGCTGGGAACTCTGTTTACTCTATGGGAGTTTGAGAGGAGAAGGGCAGAGGCCTGCTTCTCTGAGAGGAGACACAATCACCTGATGTTCAGCTCTCCCCGTCACCTGAGGATGGGTAAGGTCTGTGAGGTCTGGATACCGGCGGGGGGAGGCTCTGTGAGTCTGTGCATTGGAGGAGAGGAAGCACACCCCAGTCACAGCTGGGGAGCTGAGGGAAGTGGGGGACCCCGCTGCCTACCCTCAGCCTGTGGTAGGCTTCCCCACCATACACTCAGATCACAGCTGAGGTCGGGGCTTCTTGTTTGGACTGGTGTTGTTTCACAGAGCTTATGACAATCCCTGCCATGTGATAGGCTCCATAGATGGTTGTTAAATAAAAAAAACAAAACAAAACAAAACACATAGCACACACTCCCAGCACACACTCACGCACGCACACACACACACACACACGATAGGCACGCACACCATGACCAGGGAACAAGACAACCTTTCTTCCTCTTTCCTGCTAAACAAGTCTGACTAGCAGGTCCAGCCGTGGCCGGTGCTCATCCATAAAGGCCCATGAGCCATGAGCCATAAGCTGTGGCCTGCTGACCTACACACCCAGGGACATGAACAGGAATCTTACGCTGATGGAAGACTTCTCATTGCCCACGGTGGTGACCTGCACATTACCCAGATGCAGGATGGCAGCTAGAATCTTGAAGACATCCATCTGAAAATCTTCCTTGAAACCTGAAAGCAAACATTCCCCAAGTCAGGGCACTGCCGTTCTCCTGTGCTCCGTGACACAGCACCTGGATTCTTCCAAGACTCTCCAGTTATAGGGCCAGGGAGCTGGGGCAGGGGTGTGAAGTGGGCTTGTCATGGATAGGGGTGTGAAGAGGTTTGTCATGGGGCAGGGGTGAGAAGCTGGTTTAGTGACAGCTGCTCACAGGTTCTTCCCTAGATAAGAACGCTGCAGCCAGTGGAGCACTCCAGGCTGCTGGAGAGTTCAGCGTGTATCTGGGGTTGAGGGTATATGGAGCTCAGGTGGTAGAGTGCTTGCCTGGCAGGCAGGGGACCTGGGACCTGATTCCCAGCATCACATAGACCAGACATAGCGGAACATTGCTGTAATTGTGGCATTCGGGAGGGAGGCGAGGGCAGGGGATTAGAACTTCAAGATCATCCTAAACAGCAAGTTTGAGGCCAGACTGGGTGACATGAGACCCCCACTATCTCAAAGAAAAACAACAAAAGCCAGAACAAAATAACAATAGCAAAAACAAAACCAACTCCTATTAAACAGCTGTTTTAAATTCCCAGGAGACTACGCTCTGGGGCATGTTATATACTTAATTTAAAGGTTTTCTTTTCTCTTTGCTCTCGAGCTCCCAGAACCCTTCTTAAGGTGAGGTGATGGAAGGATTCCATTTGTCCCCCTAATCCCCACAGACCAACCATGTGGATCAAGGCAATGGGCTCTTGTGTCTTTGGGTCTCTGGATGGGTCTGATTAATGGAGAGCCTTGGAAGGAGATAAAGGAGGATGAGAGGAAAAAGGGGCAGGAGGAGGATGACAATGATGATGACAACAAAAGACAGTGTGGTAACTATGACAACCCAGATGGTAATGACCAATAGGAAGAGCAGGAGGAACAAGAGGAGGAAGAGGGGAAAGAGGAGGGGGATATGGAGAAGGCAGAGCAGGGGGATTCTCTGAGCATCTCCTCCTGGCTCCTCTGTACAGCGTGGCCTCACAGGCAGAGGTATATGTTCCTGGCTTGGCACTGATTTTACCTGTCTCCTTTCAGGCTCACAGAACAACAATGAGTCTGAAGATGCCAAGTTCTGCTACCCCTGGTGGCTTGCCTGGAGATCACCCACGTTCTCTGTGTTGGTCCTTTTATAAATAAACTCTCCCTCTGATCCTGTCTTGACCTTGCCATACAATAACCTAGCATCTTGACTGATGCATGTGGACTAGGGGGAATTGGCCCACTTCCTAGTGCTGAAAATAAACCAAGCCAGCTGCTAGGAGGACCGCGTGTCTCGTTGCCAGCTGCAAACCGGGCTGTGTTGATCAGGATGCAGCCATGCATGTTTATGGCACTCCTGTGAGCATGGGGAGATGCTGGGGCCAAGCTGTCCATGCCCATCACACGTCCATCTGGCCCATGCTGGGTGGAGACTGGAATGGACGCCAGCATCATCCCTGCTGTCCAGCACAATAACAGGTCTGAGCAGCTGTTGCCACCTAAGCCTCCTGTGGAGAAAACCTGGGGTCCTGGGTCATCTGGGAGGTCAGATTCCTAAGCAATCTCAAGACCCTGAAAACCTTCTCTGCTTCAAAGACAAAAGACACCAGACCAAAGCCACACAGCATTTCAGCTCTGTTGAGTCTGGGAGTTGAATGACAGGTGAGCCTGTTAAGCCTGCAGGTGGCTGATGTGACAAATGACAAATAAATAACCGGCTGGCTGAGAAAAGCAAAGGAAACCTCAGAATCTGGAGCATCGGGTTAGCGTTTCATGGTCTCCAGCCAAATCTCTTGGCCACCAGGCCTTTCATGTACGAACGAATTTCAGACCTCAGGAAGTCACCATCTGTCCTGAGACAGCATCTCTCCAATGCCACCCTGGCAGGGATCAGTCACCAGGGGATAGGTGTGCCACTCCCATCCTGGAGCCTGGGGTGTGACCAAGGGTCACAACAGCCAGAAATGATTGTTGCAAGAAAGGAAGGAAATGGCTGGAGAACGGCAGAAACGGGGGCAGCAGTCAGGATCCGTGTGTCTAACATGGCCGTGCCTGGGCAATTCGTGGAGAGAGCACCCAACAGGCACCAGCCCAAGGAGCAAGCTTGTTAGAAACAGCAGATTCTACCCCAGTCTCTGGCTGAGTGAGGCCTTTGACACCGCACACAGCCCAGTGGTGGCCCTGGCCAGTAGCAGCCCTAGCAGATGACAGGATAATGGCCTTTGCTTCTCCGTACAGTTTTGGAAACTGTGTCTATGACTCTAGGCCTGTGTACAGGGCCGGGTCTGCCCAGAGCCAAGTCAGTGCCTGGGGCCAACTACGTACTTTATTTTAAAGCTGTATTTGTTCTATGTGTATGTGCGCCAGCCTCTGTGTGTATGCACCCTTGAATGCTTGGTGCCCTCGGAGTTCAGCTTCCTTCAAACTGGAGTTGGAAGTGGCTGTGGGCTGCCAGCTGAGTGCTGGGAATCAAACCCGGGTCTTCTGGAAGGGTAGCCAGTGCTCCCAACCACTGAGTAATCCCTCCAGGCCTGCAGTCACGTTCTTCTATGTGCTGAGAGTGTGCACTTCCTTGGCTAGCATGGTGTCCCTTACCCAGCAGTGTGAAGGTCTTCTGCGTCTCCACCATGTCAGCTCTGTCATTTATACCTTCGATGACGGTGTTGCCGCCCATTCTCGTGTAGTTGAACTCTTCTGCACTCCCTGGAGCAGAGAGGGTCATTAATTCCACCCACAACTCAGAAGTTTGGACACGCACAGTTGTCAGAAATAAGAAATGGCCAGGCACAGCGGCTTTCCTCTGCATCTCAGGACTAAGTTCAAGGCTAGCCTGGGCTACATCATAACATCCTGTCTGAGGGAGGGAGAGAGATGGGAGTGGGGAGGAGGAAGAAGCAGGAACAGGAAAGGTTCACGCTTAACGGGCTCTACCAGACACTTTACAAGGATTTATAGAAACCCAGGCTGAGAATCAGGAAGACAAAGACCTCATTCAAGGGCCCACATTTGACAGGGGCTTAAAAACAGGATAAAGCTCTGGGGGTTTTTCTCTAACATTTCTGTTTCCACCTCTGGTGTTAGAGACATACACAGCTTGGTATTTGAAAGGCTGGGGACTGGGCCTGGGGCTTCATGCATACTATATGCTAGGCAGGCACTCAACTAACTGAGATATAATCCCAGTTTGCCCCCCTCTTCTCCCTTTTTTCCCCCTCTTTTTTTTTGGACAGGGTTTCATTATATAGTCCTAGGTAGCCTATAAATTGCTATTGGTCTTGAACTTGTGGCGATCCCCCTGCCTCTGCTTTCTGAGTGTTGAGATTATCAATGTGTGGTGTCACAGATGGCCCAGTGGACTTTTCTTAATGCATTCATTTCAGCTCTGAAGCTCATCCTATGTTTTTAGATAAAATTGTTTTTGTTTTTCAAGATGAGGTTTCTCTGTGTAGCCCTGGCTGTCCTGGAATTCACTCTGAAGACTAGGCTGGCCTCAAATTCTGCCTCTGCCTCCTGCTGAGACTAAAGGTGTGTGTCGCCGCCACCAGGCTGACAAAACAGTTTTTTTTTAAGTTATGTTATAATAAAGAAGAAATTAACTGAGGATCTAAATGCCTTCGGAAAGGAAACCTTTCATCTGCTGCTCGCCACATACGTACCCAGCTTAAGATGCTTAAATTCTGACTGCTGAGCAGATGCGCAGAGCTGGTAGAAGATGTGGTAATTTCGTTCATTTTCTGACTGCAAAAGAAAGGAAAGGCCCAACGTGACACAAACCCGTTATCAATGAAAACGCCGGAGTTTCAGCTAGAGGCCCCTAAGATGCTAGTGTGGACGGTGGACTCCTTGGGATGGACCCTGATAGATAATGCCAACTCCCAGCTGGCTGTCCTTGTCACTGAGTAAGAACTGGGGACCAGAGGTGATCTTCTGCAGACGGCCCAGAAAAACATCATTAAGCGAAAATATTCCGTGTGAAGGTGTGATGTAATTTTTACAAGCGGACATTTCTGGGATGTCATTGGGCGGTTCAAGGCTTCCTGTTGCTCTGGCTAACGGGTCTAAGAAGTTTCTCCATTTTACTAACAGAAAAGCCTTTCTCCCACCACTCCCTTGGTCCCCATCCCCTCGCCAGCTCTAATCCCCTCTCTCCCCAACAGGAAAGTCAGGCTGGCAGCTCTGCCTGTTTGAGAAGTATGCACTAGATTATTTTAAACTACAAGGGTTTTCTTTTCTCCCCAGTTGCAGGACAGTAACCTTTACTCTCAACTCTACAACTCATGAGACTGCATCTATGCATCAGGTTTTGCTTTTTAAAGAAAGAACAATGAAGAAGCTGCAGAGCACAGGAAGGACAGCCAGACTCCGTTCTTCGGGCTGCAGACCCCACAGATCGTCTAAAGAGTCTACGCATGCAGCAGTATTTAGAGCTGGGAACGAGGGGATCTAATACTTTTCTCCTCACCTGGAAGACGACCCGGGATTTCTCCAAGAGGTAGGTTCTCATGTTGGCACCGATGATCTGATGCCTCTCATCGAAGCTGATTTCTGTGTACTTCCCAAACCGGCTGCTATTGTCATTTCGGGTGGTCTTGGCGTTTCCAACAGCCTGGAACACACAGAGTTCGGCATCACCGGTGTGCTGGCCAGTGCCACCCTAGCTCACTCCTGGAGGCTGGTCAGGTTAGGGGAGGAAGCTGTTGCCTGGAGAAGAGCAGCCTGGCTTCCCAGAGTCTGAAGGAGCACGAATTCTGGGCTTCGAGGCCCTGGGGTCCAGTTCTGCTTTCTGCAGAATGCTGTAAACTCTAAGTTCCTTTCCTGTGTCTTCCTCTAATGGCAACGTGGAAGTGCATGCATCTTGATGTTATGCATTGAACGTGTCCTCACGCCTCCACGCGATTTTTAAGAATCGTGTTGTGCATGTGTGCACGTGTGTGGAAGTCAGAAGGCAACCTGTGGAATTCAGCTCTTTCTTTCTACCACGTGGGGCCCCAGGGACGGAACTCAGGTCACCCAATGCTTGGCTGCACATGCCTTTATCCACTGAGCCGCCTACCCAGCCCAGACGTCCGCAGGTTGAGGGTGGGGCCCTGGGGGAGGAGATTTCGTGCCACTGTGAAATGGACTCTTCAGCAAAGAAACTCCACGTTTGCTTTCTCCGCCATGACACTAAACAGAGAGTCTTCACAGAGCCCCGATGCTCTGGCATCCTGGCCTTGGGTCTACGGCCTCCACCACTGTGAGGAACAAACCCCTGGTCTTTGTAAGCTCCCAGCCTGTGGCACTCGGTTACAGCACCCGATGGACTAAGAGTTGGTAGGAGCCAAGCAGGGAGTATCCTACACAGCACCATGAGCGTCCACATCCTTCCATCTTCCCAATCTCCTACTCAGCTGGATAAACTGCCCGTCTCCACCTCCAGCCTCAGCTGTTTTGTTTTGTTTTGTTTTGTTCTCTTTTTCAACACAGGGTTTCTCTGCGTGACAGTCCTGGCTGTCCTGGAACTCGCTCTGTAGACCAGGCTAGACTGGAACTCAGAGACCTGCCTGCCTCTGCCTCTCAAACGCTGGGATTGAAGGCGTGTGTCACCACTGCCCAGCTCTGGTTTTCAGTCTTGAATCTACTTCTCTGCCTGAACGCCTTCCCTCTAGAAGGAAACTTTTTCTCGTCTTCTTTCACCTCTCTTCCTCCTCCTCTTCCACGAGTTATCTTCTGATTTCCACATGTGTGTGCATGTACTTCCCCTCCACAAACCAAGTTTTCGCTGTGTCCGCCCTGGCCTCACGCTTACCACCCTATTGCTACAGTCTTCCAAGGGCTAGGATTACAGGCGGATGGCAGGACCTTCCTTGTGTATATACACTACTCTTCTTGCCCAGATCACCATGGCTTTGGCTGGCGCAGACCGGCTGTGTACTTACTGTAAGTCACAGGCTTGGTCAGCAAAAGTGAACCTAACTGCTGTGGACATCCCACCTGCGTGGAGCCTGTGGCCCGGTGGGGACACAAACCTTAAACGGCTCTACAGTTACTCACCGGGCAGGTCACATGGTGCTTCCTCTGGACTGCTTTCCTGTCACTATCTCGGATGGTGACCTCTGTTCCATCTGGCCAGCCTGCGCCTGTAGCTGTGCCCTTAAGGCTTGCTCAGTTCCCTCTCCATCTGTGTGCTTATTTCATTTTAACATATGCTTCTGTTAGCACAGAGGCCTGACCTTAAAGACTGGGTCTTACTTATTTCCATTACATCTGATATCGTCCCACAAGTTTCAAACAACACAGGAGTGGAAGTCCCTGAAGGTTCTGATTTGGGAAACAGGGAGAGAGAGGGCCCCGGGGGCCACAGGCTGCACTGCCGTGCCCGTTCTCCGCAATCTTCTTCTCATTCTGTAAGACATACAGCATTGGCCTTGGGGCAGCCCTTCCCTGTGCATTCTAGGTATTCTTTCCCTCATGGGGCAGAATCCTGGGGAGCTGTGTGGTGGCTCTGTCCCCCTGGTGAAAGGAATCAGAGTGACTATGGCTAGCATATGCCCAAGTGCAAGCTGTCAGTAAGTAAGATGTCAGTACTCTGTGACTGACTTCAGACTTTTGAAGCTCAAACAATCCCCTCACAAAACTCGAGAGTAACAGCCAGCTTGTGAGAGTGGGTGCCCGCTGGCTGGGGAGCACTGGTGATCTCCGTGTGGCTGGGGATTGCCCCCAGGGTGTCAGCACACATCTGGGATCTTGAACTCTGATGATGCAAAGTCCAGTGCATTGGGCAGAGACAACCTTGGCAGTCACCACTCTGCCTCACCTCCTTACCACAGGACTCCTATCCCTGCTCTTGCCACTCTTCCTCCTTTGAACCTCAACTGCAGAAAGTTGCACTAACAAGCCCAGCTCATGCACAGAGCTACCCCCTCCCCTCCTTTGCCCCCCATGCCCCTCCAACCCTCAGCATCTCCTTGTACAAGGGTGAGGTGCCCACCTCAGTTATGGGATTGGACGCCAGGACTTTGTCCTCCACATGGGCATTGCTGCTGGATTTGCTGACTGTGGCAAAGTACCTCATGGCATAGCGGGCAGAAACTGTCTTCCCAGCTCCAGACTCCCCGCTCACGATGATGGACTGGTTTCTATTGTTCCTAAAGCCAACACACGAGAGAGGCACTGAGATGTACCGAGAAGTCTTAAATCCTCTCCGTAATATAGTTCAAGCTAGGCAACATAACAAGACCTGACTCTGAAAAAGAAAAGTGTAGGGGTTGGAAACATAGGGACCAGTATAATGTTTGCCTAGCACGCATAAAGCCCTGGGTTTGATCCTCAGGTCTCCGTAAGCCAGGCATGGTGGTGCACTGAGGAAGCAGAGGTAGTAGAAATTCAAGTGCAAGAATATTCTCAGCTATATAGAATATTAGAGGCCAACCTGGGCTACATGAGACCTTGTCTCAGAACAAACAAATGAACAAACAAAGCAAAAGTACAACAATAAAAACAAGCCAAAGCAAAACAAAACAGACGCTGTTTCCTGCCATGTCCCTTGTCCCTTTGTGTTGAGGTCCCCAAGACCAAGGCCAAGGTCAGCATCCGCTAGCAAGGTTGGCTTCACAGTCAAATCATGGCTAGGATAGGCCACACTGAAGGATTCAGAGCAAGATCACCAAGGGAGAAGCCATGGTGCGAAGACACAGGAAACTGGTGCAGAGATCCCAAGAGCCTTCCCTCTTGTGCCACTGTGGCCATGACTCAGGGAATGGGTTTCCTGACACGTGTGGAGTCCTGTTTACCTGGAACCCACACATCAGGGCCTCATGCCTGTCCTCTGCCTCCCAGGGGACAGAGTTCAGCCCCTCAGGAGGAAAGCAGGTTCTCAGCATCAAACATGCTCCTTATACAAATCGTAAACTTAGGTACAGAGAGACCATGTTTATGGGAGGCAGAACGAAGTGTCCCGAAATTGGCCAGGCTCACACTAGCTTTCCAACGAGGCTCTCAGACAGCTCCCCCAAGCCCCACTAACAACTTCTTCACATCCTACTGACATTATTTTAAGAGCAACAATTCAAAATATACTTGGGGACATATGTGCTCTATAAGCCTACACACTGTTACATAATGTAGACATTTTAAAAATAACGCCTTGAGCTTTTCAGGGACTATGGTGGCATAGCGCTGCCATGGGATTAGCCCCGTTTATGTGCTAAGACGCTGGGCGGACACTCCACATCTGTTCTCAGTCACACTTCACAAAAGTCCTATGGCATACTTCTCAGTTTTACAGCCGTGTGAGTCACGGACTCTCATGTCACATGCGCTGACCTGGGCACAGTACATAGCCTCTCGTGGTGACCCTGGGGTCCCTGGCCCACTCCTTTCATTTCAAAGAAAGAGGAAAAGACCCTAGAAAGGTAGCAGATGTGTGTCTCCCAAGCAAGGCAGATGGCTCTGTCCAATACCAAGCCAGCCCACCATGAGCCTGCTTCATCTTCAGTCTACGCATTCCAGCAGCTCGGGTTCAAGCTGGACCCTGGCATGACCCTGAGGTTCTGCGGACCTCACACTGTGGATGACCAGACTGTAACCTCAGAGAATGGTCATCAGACTTCCCCTCAGGGGATTCCAAGAGGCCTTCAGAAGCCAGAGAGTTCCAGAAGCAGGGTGTGCTCTGGTGGGAAGCATCTTGGACCAGCGCGAGACATCCATCCTTTCTCCATGACCCCATTGTGAAAGGCTGAACTACTGCCAGGGCGAAAGCGCATGCCAGCCTCATCTGGCCAGGTGGGTATGTCCCAGGAACAGTGTTGCTCCATCGGGCCCCGTCACCCGGAGGACAATCCCTTCTCTCCATCCATGTGACTCAGAGTATGGAGGAAGGTGGCCAGGGGCCTGGCCCTGTGAATTAGGGTCTCTCTCAAGGGACAGGGGAGTGGGGGGGTGCCATTCAGCCTCTGAGGACTTGAAGGAAGTGAAATGTAGCCTCAGATTGCCCACCCACCGGGATTCCTGTAGGGGAGAAGCATGCCTTGTTCATGTCACCATGGCTTCCATGGTCATAAGCACAGAACAGAGATGGACCTGCTGGAGTCTGGCCCTCAGAGGAGGCACATCCAGCTACTATACCTAGAATTACAAGGCACACAGCAGAGTCCATGCCTCGGTTTCTCATGTGAGATGGGGGTAATGAATGCATTACAGTGAACTTCACAAAGGTGTGGTGAAACCCTAAGATCACTGCGTGGGAAAATTATTTGGCAAACTGTAAAGTGTTCCACAGGGTTCGGATGGTGTTTTTATTCTCCAGGTTCCTACAGACATGATCAACGGAACCACGAGACGAAAAACGAACCACACTTAGAATCAAGGAAATCTGGGCCCAAATCCCAGCTCTGCCTTTAGCTCACTGCCTGCGTCAGGTAGATGGCATTCTGGGATGCTAGATTACTGTGGCAAGACATGGGCCTCACAGGCTGTCCTAAGGGAACCAAGGTGATGCTGGAAATGTGAACCCGGCATTTCTGTTGCAGGAAGATTTTTGTAAATGTGCAGTAGCAAAATCAGAATTCCACAGGGCCATGCAAAAGCAAAGTGAGAAAATGGTGTTACAATCCAGACCTGTGGCTAGAACCTGTGCTTCTCTGGCAGTGGATTCTGCCTCCTGAGATGGCTAAAAACCAAAACATAAACCATAGACACGCCATGGTACAGAGGCAGTCGGTCCTCCTCCAGCCAAACACACTGCGGGGGAACGCAGATGGAAGACAGGGCTTATGACCAATGAGGAACAAAAGCCAGGACGTCTCTAGACATCCTGCTACCCTGTGACCATCACCTGCTCTTCGTGCCAGGCATCTATATATTCAGCAAAGCGCCCACGCGGCCTCACGGCCCCTGTTAGTGAGCTGAGCTCAAAGCAGCTCCCTTTCGCGGTGAGGGACGAGCGAATGTGAAGAGTGCAGGGAGGGCCGAGGAGGCTCCAGCGGACTACCTGGCCATCTGCTTGTAGGCCTCCTCTGCGACTGCGAAGATGTGTGGGTCCATGTCCCCCATGTTCTGGCCGCTGTAGGCGTGAATGATGGCGTCCCCATAGATTGGCAGCTGCTTGTAGGGGTTCATGGCCACCAAGATGATTCCTGAGGAAAGGGACGAGGTGCGGTCACCTCCACGGAAGAGGGACTGGAGGCTGACCGCCAGCTCTGTCTCGCTCACATCGGAACACCCTCACCGCCTGCTCGGCAGGTGCTAGCATCCTTGCTCTTAGGCTTCCCAGCCTCCAGAGCCGTGAGCCAAACTTCTGTGTAAGTTATCCATTCTCAGATAGTCTATCACAGCAACAGAAAACAGATGGAGACAGCCATCCCCACAGGCCCTTTCCAGGAGGCCCAGTCCTGTCCCTTACTACAGCCTTTGCTTGACTCGGGCCAGGTCACTTAATGCTCTAAATCTTGGTCACCTTCATCTAAGGCTCTTCTGACGGCTGAATGGGGCGACACGTGGGGAAACAAACTGTGATAGTGCAAATGCAATAAGGACAGCAATGTCCCAAGAAGTGATAAATGTGTCAGATCTAGGGAGAAACTCAAACGTAGCCCGTGGTGTTGCTTCCCTCACAGTCCTTTCTGTTCCTACCAGAGAGTTTCCCCACACAATGGGCTCTTTTTGCACCCCCTCTCAAGGCTCAGCATACACCTGGCATCCAGCATGCCTGGACACCGCTGGCCATGGGGGTCGTCCACGTCCTTACCACTGTAGGTGTAGATGAGTTTGGACTCTGCAAAGCGGATTCTGAGGTTATGCAGCACTGCCGGCTCATGGAGGTAGCTAAGGGCCGTGAGGTCATTCTCACCCACCAGGATGTCTGGGTTCCGAAGCGGAGGCAGTGAGCCTGGGTCAACAGGGTAATCCAGCTCCTGTGAACAAGGGCAGGTGTAAGCATCTTCAGCCAGTGTTTCTGCTAACCTGTCTTTCTCCTCCCTCCCTCCCTCCCATACAGACAATCCTCACACTAAAACAACAACACACAAGGATGCTGGCTCCCCCGGAACTGGAACTTGAGGGGATTGTGAGCCACCGTCTGGGTACCTGGATGGAACCTGAGTCCTCTGGAAGAGCAGCAGGTACTCTGAACCGTTGAGCCATCTCTCCAGCTCTCACAACTTTTTTTTTTTTTTTTTTGAGACAAGGTCTCACTAGGTAGTCCAAAGCAACCTCAAGCCCTCTATCCCCCTGCCTCAGCACTGCTGGGAGGGCAGGCCAGTATCACCACACCTGTCTCAGAAACTTTAAGTAGAGGAGAAAGGAAATAACCCTCCTAAGTGACCCGAGGTAACGAAAAACTGTAGGCCAGGGGACCAAAACATTGAGTGTGCACCTTAGAGCACGCCACCTTCCCTCTACCCGACTCGACTCCTCAGTGAAGGGCCCATCAGAGATGAGGAGGCTGTGATGGAGGATGAGGAGAAGCCAACAGACCAGTCTCCCGTGCCCCATCCTATGTCTACCAGCCGTCCTGGCAAAGGCCAGGCCCTCAGCCCCGACGGTCTACATACGCTTCAAGCCTGCGTTCAGAGGAAGGCATGGCTGGCCAGGTGAACACTGAGCAAGCAGGCTGGGAAGAGAGCTGCACTCTCTGCGCACCTCACGTCATCCAAGCAGGACTTGCCCCTGCGGGCTGGTCAGTTTCCCAGCAGGAGAGAAGCAGCTAGGGAAGTTCAGGACATCAAATGGGAGTCCTTGGACCAGATCCCGCTGGCCCTCATCAAGGCAGGTCTACTTACAGTCCGCCCTGCCAACACGCTCCCGATTCCAGCCCGTGTTAGGGAATGATATCAACAAAGAGATTCTCCAGTCGGGGTAGGGGTGCTGGAGTGTCAGCCAGCTAGATAGTCATCTCTGGGGGAGGGGAAACATGACATGGATAGGGGGAGGGAGGCAGGGTGAACATACTCGACACAAAGCAAGCTTTGTCCTCTTGTGCAAGGAAGGGTTAAGGTAACGGGCGCTGGCTGCCTGCCAAGCTCTCTGCCTCCCTGGCCAGGGGAACGGCCACCTGGGGCCTGCTAATAGCGCAAGCAGCTGCTGGCTCAAGACTTCCCTTCCTAGGCCCAGCCACCTGTCTAATCCCCAGTCAGCTGACTGAGGTGCCCGGAACCAGGGTGGCACTCAGTAAGAGCCACAGAGGGCTACGGAAGAGCGAGATGCCTTGCAATGTGCTCTTCCATCTGTGTGTGCACGAAGGACGGTCCCTGGCCTTCAGGACCTGTGACAGCACCACGTCATCAGCTCCTCTGCTGTGTGTGTGGAGGGTAAGGGATACAGACTTAGCAAGTGGTGGCGCCTGACCCCAGAGCATGGCTCCTTCCTTTTCTGCAACTTCCGGGAGCTCAGGAAATGCCTGACACCCAGGACCAGATGCCAGGAAGTGGCACGTGGCATCTCTATGTACATTTTGTAAATTCTGGCATTTAATAAGGAATTTGCAGACCACCCCTGATCCAATGGAGCACAGATAGGTGGCCCAGTTCAGCATCTAATACTTGAGTCTAAAAGCTCAGAGAGAATATTGGCTGAACCCAGAGGGGCGGCTTCTTAAAGCCGATATGAAATCTTCAGTGGCTGATGACCAAAAGACCGGAGCAGTCCCTGGCTGGAACCTCGCAGCAGCGCATCCCACCGGAGCCTTGGCTGAAGTCTGAGCCGCCTTCTTTCTCGCCTTGCCGGTTCCGTCTCTGCCTTCTGCACACCCTCTGGGCCCTTACAAGGTTCTGCACACCCCAGACTGACTCTCTAGCTCTCCAGTCTCATTCCACACTTCCTATCCTTCCCCAAGGTCTAGCTCCCTCTTCCTATCTGGATCACGCCTCCCTCCAAGCTCCTCCCCTGCCCCGTCTCTCTACCGAGTGAGACCCAGGAACCAGAACAGCTGACGGGCTTTTCAGTAAGCGCTGAGCGCTTGGAACACAGCATATCCGGTGACTAACAGGGAACCCCTTAGAGATGGTCTACTGGCGGGGTGGGGGTGGGGGTGGGGGACAGCAGGAAGGCACGCACACACTGGGGCGCTCAGCACCATCTGGCCTTCCCGGATACAAGGCAGGTGTCTCCCGTGCCCCTTGGCCTGCACTGTTCCTCGGGCCCTTCCGCCAGTGCCCCTGCGTCACCGCTGTACACGTCGTTGTACCCAGCGGACAGCAAAGAGCCTCACCGTTCCATCCTCTAGCAGGAGCCGGAGGACTCGGCCACCCACTCTGTAGTCCTTTGCGATCTCAGCCGACTTCCAGACTTCCTCAGGATCAGGAATCCAGACCCTGTTGTACTGGCCACAGGGTAAGACAGGTTTAATCTCAGCATGTGAAAACCCTGAACACAGAGCGTTGATCCCCGCACCCACTGTGGACCTGTCAGCTGGGTCCATTCCCACACTGGGAAGACTGCCAAGGCTAGGGATAATTCCACGGGTAAAGCGCTTGCCTTAGAAGCACCAGGGCCCTTGTTAGAAACCAGAGAAGCTGTTTATAACCCGGGTGGATCCCTGGAGTAGGCCGCTCGGCCATCCCAGCCAATCAGTGAGCTCTCGATCCCAGCGACCCCGTCTCAACCAACAAGGTGATGCCTCCTGAGGAATGACAGGTGACCTCCGGCCTCTATATGCGAAAACACATTCTCTCACACACACATACACACACACACACACACACACACACACACAGCCTCTCAGAATATTTTCACCTCCTTTTTTCTGTGCGGAGGTAAATTTTAGTGCAGCTACAATGCACCCACCACTAGGCTTACCGGCCCTGTTACCCTGTTTGCGGTAGAACCCCAAAGCTACATGAATACACCTCGAAAATGGAAAGCTTGGGATGGGAAGGAAATTTGAGGGTTCCCTAGTAAAAGCTGGGGGAGGGAGGGGACCTTTTACAAGACTCTGGCAAAGGAATTTGGCTTCCACCAAGAGACTACCTACTTAATTTCTAGTACCTCTTCTTCTCACCCAGACAACGATACAAAGCTCACTTCGCAGGGGTGCCGGGAGGCTCAGTGAGGTGAGTAGGGAAAGCACTTAGGGCTGGGTCTGTGGCTCGGACAGTAGAGCGCTTGCCTAGCGTGAATGAAGCGCTGGGTTCTATCCCCAGCACGACTAAGCAAGACACGGTGATGCACTCATGTAATCAGAGCACTCAGGTGTTGGGGGTGGGGAAATGAGGAATTTAGGGTCATTCTTGGCTACATAGCGAGTTCAAGGCCAGCCTGGGATACACAAGACTCTGTCCCTAGATCAAAACGAGCAAATAACAGCACTTTATAAAATACTAAGGAAGGTTACAGCAGCGCCCTCACTAACTATTCTTACTTTGAGACAGGGTCTCGGCCTGTTTCTCAAGCTGTCCTGAAACTGGTTAATCCCCCTGCCTCCGCCTTCTGAGGGCCGGGATTACAGGCACAACTGTCACACTTGGCTATGACTCGGCTATCACTGTCTTACAACGACAGCAGCCACGGAGTCCCGCCTTGGGAACGGCAGAAGCCCCTCAGCCACTGCTCAGCTCTCTCCCCAGCAGGCAACTGTGGGTTGGTCTCAGTGCTGTGGCACAGATCCTAGCCCTGTGGAGCTGTGTCCTCCCCAGAATTCACGCACTGAAGGCCTGGTCCCTGATGTTACTGTGCTTGAAGATTGGGGCCTTAGAGGTGACTGAGGGTAAATGAAGTCCTGCCCTGACAGGATTATGGGAATAGAGGACTGTAAGAAAAGATGTGGGAGGGCTGGCAAGACGGCTCAGTGGGTGAAGGTGTTTGCCACCAGGCCAGGCAACCTGAGTTCAGTCTCCGGAATCCACGTGGGAAAAGGTGAGAACCAGCTCTTGGAAGTCTTTTTCTGACCTGCACCTTATCCACCAAGGCACAGTGCAGCCCCCCCCCAACAATTAGATGATTGTAATACTTTTTAAACATTTATTTATTTTTATTTTATGTGCATTGATATTTTGCCTGCAAGCATGTCTGTGTGAGAGTGTCAGATCTTGGGGTTACAGACAGCTGTGAGCTGCCATGCAGGTGCTGGGAATTGAACCTGGATCCTCAGGAAGAGCAGTCAGTGCTCTTACCCAATGAGCCATCTCACCAGCCACATAGAACTTTTTTGTTTGTTTGTTTGTTTTTTAAGGAGACAAAACAAGGCACTACTATAGGCTCCCAACCCTGCAGGAGAGCCCACTGTGCTGGGAAATAGCCAGGCAAACAGGAACACGGTCAGGAGGCTGTCACAGAGAGACACTGTGTGCTACCAAGAGCAGCAATAAGAACCCCAACTAAGACAGTCACCAACCTTCTCTGTTACAGATGGACTTTCCGAGAGCAGTTGTAAAGATTTCATAACCTAGGGGCTGGGAGATGGCCACTTAGAATAGTGCTCACCTTGTTCCTTACTTTGCTGTGATAAAGCACTGACCAAAAGCAACTTGAGGAGGAAGAGGTTTGTTTGGCTCACACCATCGTCCATCATTGAGAGAAGCCAAGACAGGAACTCAAACAGGGAAGGAACCTGGATGCAGGAACCAAAGCAGAAGCCACGGAGCAACCCTACTTTCTAGCTTGCTGTCGGTGGCTTGCTCAGCCTGATTCCTCATACGACCCCGGGCCACCTTCCCAGGGGTGGTGGTGTCTACGGTAGGGTGGGCCCTCTCGCATCAGTCATTAACCAAGAAGATGCCCCTGCCGACTTGCCTATGGCCATTCTAATGGAAGTGTTTTCCCAACTGAAGTTCCCTTTCCCTATGCAAACCTGGCTTGGGTCAAGTTGACAAAAAAAGAATCTAACCAGGTCACCTTGTAAGCCAGCATATGGTTCTAAAAAACCTATATTAAAAAAAAAAACAAAAAACAACCCACAAAGCGAGGTGTTGTGGCTTACTCTCTGTGGTTGTTTGAAGGAGAATGGCTTTCACAGGCTCATATATTTGAATGCTTAGTCTCCAGTTAGTAGACATGTTTGGGAAGGATTAGGGGTGTGGCCCTGTTGAAGGAGGTGAGGCTTTGTTGGAGAAGTGTTACCGTTACCGGGGCTTTGAGATTTCTAAATTGCTCTGCCTGGTTCCTGTGGGTCAGGATGTAAGCTCTTGGCTACTGCTCCAGTATCATGCTTGTCTGCTTTCTGCCATGATGACCATGGACTCACCCACTAAAACTGTAAGCAAGTCTCCAGTTAAACGCTTTCCTTTATGAAAGATCCCTCGGTCATGGTGTCTTTTCTTAGCAATAGAACAGTGACTAAGACAAGTTCATAATCCCAGAGCTGGGGAGATGGAGACAGGTAGATCCATGGCCAGACAGCCTAGCCTAATTGGAGAGTTATAGGCCAAGTGAGGGACCTTGCTTCAAAAAACAAGAAGGAGAAATATCTGAGGTCCACCTTTGACCTCCACACACATGCACGCACATGCATGCACACATACACATAAGGGAAATATGTAAACCTTAAGAAAACAAATTCTAGACAGTCAAGTTATGAGATAGGGTCTCTTTGCAGCTATGCAAGTGGGTCTAGCTGGCGTACACGCTTCTGGGAAATTTCCCTTCTCCATCTCCATGTCCCTGTAGGGTGTGATAAGGTGCCTTGTGGTCTGGCCTCTGTGTGTGCTCTGGAGAGCCGAACTTCAGCGGTGAGGCTTGCAGGACGAATACTTTTACCCATTGAACCAACTCCCCAGCCCGAATTCTATATCTCGATAGAGTTTGTACATGTGACACATGTCCTGAATATACTAAACACTGGACAAAGGGTTGAGATTTATACATTTTACTAGCTGTGTATTTAATACAAAGAACAAAGCAAACATGAAAGTAGCTAGTGAAACACCCACTAAAGTATATAGAAGGTGTGTTGAGGTGCCCCAGTCGCTCGAAATTGCTTTAGGAAACTGCACAGATTGCAGGCTCGATGGAAGGATAGAAGGGAGGACAGAAACATCAAACAACAATTCCAGCACATTCATGCTGGACTAGAGATTTGGGAATACAGCCTCAGTGTAGAGTTCCTTCAAGTTTACTTTCAGCTCAAGAGTCTCAAGGGATAGATGAAGGGAATACAGAATAGGAAGAAAGAAGTCTAGTGTTTCAATACTAGATCGGGATGAACAAAGATTGGTATCTAATAGTTGACATAAATTGTTTTGATTAACAGTCATTAAACATTGATCATGACTAGACCGTCTGAATAGATGTAATCCTTGATAGACAGTAAGGACAGGAACTTGGTTAGATGTAAAATAGGAGCAGGGAAGCTTTGAGAGAAGAAGAGAGGAAGGGAAAGAAGGGAAGAGAGGAAGAGAGAGGGAGAGAAAAAAGGGAGAGAGGGAGAGGACAAGAGAGAGGGAGAGAGAGAAAAAGAGAGGAGGAGAGTGAAAGGAAAGAGAAGGAAGAGAAGGAGATAGAGAGATAGGATATGAAAATGGGTGATTTCTCTAGCAGGCAATCACGCAATAATGGAGACCTGAACCAAGCCTGAGTAGAGCCTTGCACACACAGACACAGCTCTTAGACATATATACCCACACCCACCACACCCATCCTCATCACCATGATCACACATTTCCTACTTCAGGTCTGCTATTAGAAATGTTTGCTTATAACCCGGTATATCCCAAATTATCAAAATACAACACCCCAAGATATCAAGAATTAGCCATTCTAAGTTTCAGAGCTGAAAGTATCCTTGGAATGATCTATCGCAAGCTGTCTGTCAAGTTTAGAGATGCAGACAGCTTATTCCAGACGCTGTGGGAAGCCGGAGAAAGTTGAGGTGTTCAGGTGCAGCCCTGTTGGAGGATGAGGTCCCTTTGGCCCAAATTCCCAGAGGAACACGGAGCTCTGGAAGCGACTGAGCAATTACTGAGCTGGCCAATCCTTTCGTTTTTATTGATGTTCCAACTCAAACTCAGATAGGCCAAGAGTGCACCAGAGAGAATCTTTTCGTTTGTTTGTTTTGTTTTTCCGAGGCAGGGTTTCTCTGGGTAGCCTTGGCTGTCCCGGACTTGCTTTGTAGACCAGGCTGGCCTTGAACTCCCAGAGACCTGCCTGCCTCTGCCTCCCAAGTGCTGAGATTACAGGCCTGCAACACTGCTCCCGGTTAACAGCAGGGCCTGAGGATGACCCTGACAGGCTATCTGCCTGACTGTCCGGCGCTCTCCTAGTGACTTCTGAATTCATTTCACCTAAAAGTGTCATTCAGTGGCGGGCAGGGTTGAAATGCCTGGGGCCACTCTCTTCTTGGCTGAGTGTCCCTCAGCATCCCAGGTAAGCACGCTCATTGGTCCTCGT